AGAGAGAAGAGAGAGAAGAGAATGTATGTGTGTGTGTTTTTCACACACACTTGGTGAGCACTCTGTCCCTGAGCCTGAGCCCCAGCCCCAGCTGTGAAAATGCTGTGGGCTTCCAAACACAGGTGTCCAGAAAACCCAGACGGTGTTTGTGTCACACTGCAGAACTGACAGTAGGCCGCAGCTCCAGGGAGCTGCCCGGGCGGGGGACGTTCTGTCCTGCGGCTCCTCTTACCTTGGATCACAGGGCCTTCTGACTCGTTCTGATCAACCAACTCTGGGGAAAAAAAAAAAAAAAAAAAAAGCAGAGAGTTCAGACAACAACTTAGTAACATCCAGTCACATCTGACGGGTCCACGGGTACAACTCTGCCACATGACGAGAAAGAACAGTGATTAAGGATTCCGGTATATTCCACCAAACCATGAATGTCACAGTAACGACCACAGAACTCCAGTGCCCACTGCTGTACGAGGATGAGCTCAGAACCATGCCCTTTCAACCCAGTTGGGGCAGGCAGCTAGAGACATGCTGCTCCTTGGCTCTTAAACATCATGAGGGTCAGATGAACTGAGATCCATAAAAAGAATCAAAGGGGAAATCACTGTGGGATTCCCTCAAATGGCAAGAGTCCCAGTGTGACCAGAGCTGAGGTCAAGAAGGCAGGGTGGCCTCTTCTGAGTGACTGCCATCACCACATACTAACACTGCCCAGTAGAAGGCACACTGAGGGGGCCTTGACAGGAGAGGAGCTGGGGCTTCCATCAGGAGCCAGCGAGGACATTATGACTAAGTCACACTCAAAACCCGGAAGGCGAAGAGCCAGAACCCATGCCCCCACCAGGGGAGGCCACTCTGCAAAGCAGGTGCAACAGCCCCAGCTGCTCAGTTTCCGGGTGACGGGGACCCACAGAGCGCAGCCCTGGGGTGGCTGGCTTCTAGGGAGTGAACACAGAGCAGATGGAGTTCGGGAGAGAACAGCGACTCTAATCAGAAAAGATGGAGAAACTCTGAAGGGTCTCAGAAAAGAATGGGCACCATGTTCACAACCTGCAGCGATGAAGTCAACAGCACAGCGCAGAACAGACCAGCAGAACCACAGTGCTCCGAGCACTCCTGATGACATGGACATAGGGCACTGGGAGGACACCCACATTTGTCTACTGAGCAGCATGCGAGCCCACGTGGGCAAGACAAATCACAGTTTGTGGCCTATGCAGTCAGTGACATCCTGCCCTTCGGTCTGTGACACCACACACAGAAGCTGAGGATCGGGCACCTACTTATGGCCTCCGCTGCAAAGCTTTCCTCATGGAGCCAGTCAGTGAACAGTCGGGCCACACCGCCCTGCTGCGCCCGCTCAGCTCTGCACCCACCATGGGGGTGCCCAACACGGCCGAACCACGCAGGCTCGCTGACCCACTTTAAATTGTTTACATACCATAAATAAGTCATTTAAATCTGAAACATCCAAAATGGGGTCTATCCTATCACTCATGACCAAGCTTGCCGAGGGTTAAAACAGTAAGATACGCCCCCCAATGAGCACCCACCACCCACCACCCACCACCAACTCCGGGATCCCAGCAACATACCACCAGAATCTGTGAGATACTCACGGTTATTAATCACGAGTCCGGGAAATGGCCTAAAGAGAGAAACAAATCACATTTTAACAGTACAAGAATACCTGTACATTCAACTAACACTTAACCTGTGTCACTAATTATCCACTACTTTATAATCTTTTAGAAGAGATGGGTGTGACAGGCACAATGCCAATGACTCCTGAGGCTGAGGCAGGAGGATCACAAGTTCAAGGCCAGCCTCAGTAACTTCGTGAGGCYCTGTCTCAAAATAGAAAATAAAAAGGACAGGGGACGTGGCTCAGTGGCAAAGCACCCTTGGGTTCCAATGCCTAGTTTAACCAAAAAAAAAAGAAGCATGTACGTGCGCACGTGTATCAGGCATATGTGTGCAGGAACACACACACCACTGTCATAAAATGCTCCACTTAAGTGGAGACAGCAAAAATATGAGCAGAGACAGGAACAGAGAACCCAGTGATGGCTACTGGGAAGGCGTTGCTCAGTCTCTGGCTGCTGAGGACATGAGTGCACGAAAAAAGGCCCGGGGTGCCTGGGGCCTGCCCTGAGGAACCTGCGTTGCCAGAGACAGGGCCGTGGCAGTAAGTGATGGGCTGAGGTGGCTAGGAGGGAGGGGGTCACTGTGGGGTACAAGGAGCTGGTGTTCTAGAAGGGACGACATCACTCCATCTCGCAGGGGGAGAAACAGAAGTGACGTGGCTACAAATGGCTGGTTTGAGCCCAGACTGTGTGCCGTGAAGCCCACAAGGACACGCCAAGATGGTGACACTGCAGGCCTCGTGGGCCCCAGTGTCTCCCTGCCAGCTACGCACACTTCCCACTGTAGCCGGAGAGCAGACAGAGGGCACGCAGTCAGAGCTGGCAGGCGGGATGGGGGCTACAGGCCTCCCATGATCGGCCAATGGCTTGCCTAAGAACTGGAGAGGAAGCCAGCGCAGGGACAGGGCACCGGTCTGCCTGCTTGAGGCTCTGGGATTGATGCCCAGCACTGAACAAAACAAACACCCGTCGCTCCTCACTCAGGACCCCACACAACTCATGGGGCAGGGGTATGTCTCAGCCTGGCCATCTCTAGACTTGCCCCTGTGACTAAGCAGGGACCCCACTTACCTAATGACTGTGAACTTGATGAACTCAGCAGAATCTAAGATCCTCCTCATGGAGCTTATCTCCAGGTAGCTGGGGGCTTTGAAGGACACCCCGGGGGGCATGCCATCCACCACCACGCACCCAGGGTTGATGGTGATCTTCCTGTAGGGCACCTTCACAGGGAAGCCCATGCCGATAGCTTCGCCTGTAACGAGGCAGCAAGAAGCAGAGGACCTCATACCTGACGCCGACTTTAAGAGCACAAAGTAGCATGCGCTGCCAAGGCCACCCTGTCTGCTAACTAAGTTCTCTGTATTCAGCAAACAAACAGGAGTCTTGGGGTTATTAACTTTGATACAGACCATTAATAGAACAACACAATAAAAATTTTCTTATTGGAGCAATTTTTAAAATTTTACTTCTTTTCCATCAGGAGGTTATGACTACATGACAATGGTCTACTGAACAGACCTTCTTAAAACACAACCTCCAGACTGGGGAGTAGCTCAGGGGAGAGCACCCTGGGGTTCAATCTCCAGTGGGGTTGGGAGGAAGGGGGATCCCTGGTTTACTGCAAACTATCTCACAATACAACACCCACCGAATTTCCGACTGAAGAGGTCGTTCACTTGCTCGCGCAGCTGTCTTGCTTTCTCAACTTTTGACAGTCTCTCATTGTCATCATCTGAAAACAGTCCAGAGAAAACTCAAAACTTAAAAATGCACTTTTAATTTCAAGTAGATCACGAGCAGCTCTGTTAGTCTCTGGAGCACTTCAGTCCTGTGAACAAGTTACAACCCGAACTGAAAATAACTGAAAGTGCTGCGTCCCTGTTCCAATGACGACAGGTGCTGTGCAGGGCAGAGGGACACAGGAAAAGCCCCAAGTGTGCAGCCTAGAAGCACCAACAAGCCACGGGACCCGAGCCCTGGACCTCCTCTTGGGAAGCAGCAGCCTTACCGCCAAGCCTCTAGACATGGCCTGAAGGGCCACAGGTGGTCATGATGCATGGCAATGCCACATGGCCCAAAAGTACACTTTCATCTAATAGAAGATCATTTTTTGACTGAGAGGCGGGAGCTGGGGCAGGCAGGCAAAGCACAGAGCACAGTACTGGTTGAGGGCCTCTGCGGGACCCAGGGACACAGGGCGACCTGTAGGATGTGGGACCTCCCTGAGTGACTAGACAAGTCCCAGTAACCTGCGCTCAGAGACCCGGAAAAGCCACAGAGACCCACAAACCACGATGAAGGCAGAGAAAGGATACCTGGAATTGTCACTTGAATGATGTTCAGATCCTCCACACCTGACGCAGTTGTGTTAACATTGGGCGACGAATTTATTTTTCCTTAGGTTAAAAATTTAAGATTAGAGATTAAGGAGAACAAACAGCACCAACGTTTTCTCTAGGGACCTGAAGGTGAGGAGCTCCCCTCCAGCAGATGGCACAGGGCCTCGGGCCTCAGGGAAGATTCCTCCCCTCCAGCCACACTCTGGGTTCCACCCGGGTTTGACCATTCCCACTAAGGCCTGTTCTCCTTGCGAGCACTGCCACTCAGCACTTGATCCAAAAGACCCGGAAACCAATACCCGCCCTGTGGGGAGAGCACTGCGGCCGTCCCGGGGACACTCACTGGGCGGGCTCTTGGAGGAGGAGGTACTCTCCTTGATCGCCGTCTCAAACATCTCTGGTCTACAAGCAAGAGAGAAAACATGGCTAACCCAGGGTAAAAGTCATCACCGACGATTAAATAAATAAGATTTTAGAAGCCCTGTGCAAGCATATTCAGCTCCTAACCATAAACAGAAACAATGTGGTTCCATGAAGAACACATCTCAAAAAGCCCAATGACACCTGAGTTGACACCGCCCATCCCTCTGCTCAAACCCATTAGTGTCCTAGTTTGACTTTGCATTCTTCCATGCTGGGGGCATGTCCATGAGAGAATCAGGGCAAGATGCGAGAATGAAAACAGGAAAAGCCCCAAGTGTGCAGCCTAGAGACACCGATAACCTTGGACCCGAGCCCTGCATATCCACTTGGGAAGCAGCAGCCTTACTGCCAAACCTCTAGGACAGGGCCTAAAGGGCAGCGAACAGTCATGAAGTGTGGCAACGCCAGCTCTGATTGACATGGCAAAACCATGTTGCCCAAAAGTACACTCCTACCGAGTAGAACTTCATTTTTGGGACTAAACTCAGGGGCACTCAACCACTGAGCCACACCCCCAGCCCTATTTTGTATTTTATTTAGAGACAGGGTCTTGCTGAGTTGCTTAGCGCCTCACTTTTGCTGAAGCTGGCTTTGAATTAATGATCCTCCTGCCTCAGCCTCTCAAGCTGCTGGGGAGGCTGTTATATAAATGTACATCAATAATTCCAATTATTCCCATTTATTTCAATTAGCCTAATTAATTCATAGATGGTCAGGCAAACATAGGTGAAGTTAAAAATACTGTTTAAGTTGCAGGGGGAAAAAAGACCTTTGAAAAACTGAACCACTGGTAAGAGTTAGCAGCACCACCCCATAGAAACCTGAGTGTGAGCACCTTCTGGTAGAGGACCTGCTCCCTCTATGTACCTTGGTAACTCACTAAGAAAAAGGCAAACTGCATGAAAGGAGGACTATTTTGACCTTGGTATCAGAGTCCCAGCACAAAGGGGAAACCATGTGCCTGTCCCTGGCTTCACTGTACTCGCTTACTTCTTAATGATGAATTTGATCTTGGCCTTGTTGCGCAGTATCTTCTCCAGCCTCGGAATGCCAAAGGTAGAGGGCCTTCGGAAGGGCACGCCCTCGGGTAGGCCTTCCACATAGAAGTCCTCCGGGAAAGACTCGAACAATGCAAATGGCACCTTCACCGCCTGCTTAAGGCCAAGAGCTTCACCTGTGGGACGCACACGAAAGACAGTTCGCGCCTTTCCCCCTGCACACTATTCACCTTCAGCTCTAGGGATGCACTGTGAGCATTTCACAGACACTGAAGCCATCTTTACTCAAAAACACAACTTAGTTTTAGAAAGCATCCTTTGATGTCTTGCAAGGTGCCCAGTAAAATGTTAGAAACTGAAACTTGAAAAACCCACAGATTTCCAGAGATAATAACACTTAATAACTCTGAGATAATAACACTTAATAACTCTTAATAACTCTGCTCCCTGTCTTTTATTGAAAGCTACTTTATATTTCAGTAAGGTTTCAAAATAAACCTACCGCATTTTTCATTGAAAAGATTCTCGACTTTCTGCTTCAGGTCCGTGATCTTGGCGTTCCAGGCCTCTGCAGAGAAACACGTGGTTAGAGTGTCGTTGACGGTCACAGACAGGGTTGCTCACCTTTCACTGTGCAGCTTTAGGAGGCACAAAGTAAACAGTCCTCAGTTTCTAACACGTCCCGGGCTGGCAGCACACCCACCCTGCTACACTACAGAAGTGTTTGAGTACAATACTGACACCCTGGCTGAAATGACATGCACTGAAATAAACAAGAAATGAACCCATTCCCAATACAGCATCTATCGAGCACAGGTGAGGAGCTGACGCTGATGGTCCTCACAACTCCAACGTGGGAAGGCAGTGCTGTCTCTGTTTTACAAATGGCACCCGAGAAGCGGAGGCCCAGAAAGCTAGCTGCAGACAGCCAAGTTCYAGCCCTTCCCGCTGCTCAACTTGGAGGCGGTTTAAGATCACAGCAACTGAGAAGGTGCAGCCCTACTGCCATCATAAGGGCCTCACCTGCTGCCTGACACGTGTCCTTTAAGGCCAGACTAGACATGGGGGTGATGAGCAGTGTGAGCTCACACATAGGTCAGACAGTTGGCAACCTTTGTCACGGCCGGTGCCAACTTAACAGAAAAAGCAGTGGGTCACCTGGACCAAGAGGCATTCCTTTGTGTAATGCGGTGAAGTGAGAAAACCCACGACACACTTACCAAAGGAAAACTCTCTCCCACGAGGCTTGAAGGGAACATTGGAGCCATTAGTCTGGGTGGGAGTTCGAACGGCGGAGGTCTGAGGGTTATTGTTGTTAGAGCCTGAAGGAAAGTCAAGAAAAACCATGACTGGCATCTGATTAATCCTACTATGTAGTACCTCTGGTCCAGTCCAGCCTGTGCCAGAAACAGCCAAGTCTGGACGACAATGGCCATGCCCGCTGGTCATATCCCATCTCTGCTCCCTCCCTATCACCTGGCACTTCTCAGACATCTACTCAGACACTGCCCAGCTCACCCACGTGTCCCTGCTCAGGAGGCTGAGGCAGGGGGATCCTGTGAGCCCCAGCTCAGGAAGGAGTGGGAGTGAAGTGTCTGACAGGCTATGTGTGGTGCACGCACACAGTGGCGCTCCCTGGAGGAGTGTCTGCCACCAGGCACCAACACACAGCAAAGAGCGCCGAGGAGATGCAGAAGCAGGGTCCCTACGTACCACAGGTGGGCACAGAAGAGGTGCAGCTGACGCTGTAAGTCCTTGAAAAATGCAGAACTTACCAAGGACGCCCGTCTACCTCTGGCCACGTTACCAGAGAACTGATGGTAGGACCAGAACAGGAAGCAAAACAGGGCTTTGTACACCTCGGTGCACGGCAGCTTTTTTTTTAAACTTGTAAACTGTTTCTTTCTGGAATTTTCCAGTTAATATTTTTGGACCGTGGTTAACCATAGGTAACAGAAACTGAGTAAAGAAAAACCGCAAGGAGAACAGCTATGCAGGACAGACCCGCGCGGTGTAGCACGGTCATCTACGAAACCAGGTACTGGCCACGTGGTCCCTGGGGACCACTTTTCCAGCCATGTCTCTCAGAGGCACAGAGCCAGAGGGGCCGGCAGAGGAGCACAGTAGGGCCGCGCACGGTGGGCGTCACCACTGCCTGCACTTTCTCTCTTGCTTGGGTCCCAACCTCTCATGTCTAGTCTTACTTGTTCTGAAAAAAAGCAAGTTATTTTGTATATTTGCTATTCTTTATTAATGTTTGGTATTTATGGAATTTCTGAGACATAATATTTGTGTGTGGGGTGCAGCCAGGTGACAGGGACACGGYGTGGAAAACCCAGCCAGGGCACAGCACCTCTAGCTCCTGGGAAGGGGTCTTCTGTGGGGAGCGTCCCAATACCCCAGCCTAAAATACAATCCTGAAACACGCCCTGGATTCTTCTCACCAAGCATTACCCACTGGACTGGGCGGAGGCTCAGCAGCAGGGGACTTGCCTAGTGTGCGCGAGGCCTGGTTCAAGCCGCCCCACAGCCACGCTGTCCTGCTACAGAACACAGAACCCAGGTCTCCTCTCACCACTTTAATGCTCGTACTGAGGCCGGCGGCCAGCACCTCCCTTCCACACAGCGAGGACACGAGGCGCTCCCCTCCTGCACGTGGCCTGTTTTGCCCAACAAGAGGAATTCCACTCCTCCTCGTCACTGCGCATGGCAGGACTTCACTCATTTTGCGGCCCAGTGTTCCCCATGATGAGACAGTACCACAGCACAGTGCTCACAACCCTTGTCAGGGTCAGGGCTCAGGCGGGGAGTTGGAGTTGATGTCACAGGCCAAGGTTCAGCTGGGTGAGGTCAGGTGCTCTGGCAATGACGACAACGACACAATGACATGAACGTACTGAATGCTGCAGAAGTACACGCTTGGAGAAGTGGCCACACTGGTAAGCTCTGTGCTGTGTATTGATCACCACAATTTTTTTTTTTTTAAACGGAGGAAGAAAAATGGAGGACAGGCAGACAGCCCTGCCCAGAAGAGCCTCCAAACAGGAGGCCAAACCCTGGGCCAGAGACATGCTGCTCAGGTCCATCCACTCGGAACATCAGATAGAAAATAAAAGAACAGCCGGTGGCTGGCGGCTGTGCAGAAAGTGAGGAGGGACAGCCAGTGGAGTGGTCAGAGGCCCCTGGAGCCAGCTCTGGAGTCAGAGTGAGATGACACATAATTGGCCCACTCGAACCACCGAACAGGGAGACTTCACAGCAAACAAATGCCATCTCAATTTTTTAAAAACCCGAAGCATTAAACACTATGCTTAGTCCTGTTTTACAGAGCACGAAAAATTGAGTTTAAATAATTCTCCAGAGAATCCCAGGTCTGAATTCAATCTCTATATATTTCATTTCATTATTTTCAGTTCTTTTTTTTTCCTTTGAACTATAATACTCGGGCTAAAATCTGTTATGAAGCTGGGCATCAGGGCACAAGCTGGGAATCCTGGCGACTCAACAGGCTGAAGCAGAGTGTCCCAGTCAAAGCCAGCCTGAGCCCCTGAGAAGCCCTGTCTCCACGCCCAGCACTGCGCTACCCCGAGGATGTCCACCCCGCTAGGAGCTCTTGACGGAGGGTGCGGGCTGGGTGGATGCGGCCCCTCCGCTCCTCACACGTGTCCTACATGGATACAGACAAGAGGACAGGAGCACCAGGGTTCTAATGCACACAGGAAGGGAGGCCAAGTGAATCCCAGAGAAATCCTTTATCTTCTTCCAGCTACAGAGCCCACATTGGGACAAGCCTGCCTTCAGAATCATCTTAATGTGAGGAAAACAAACGCTCCTGCTAAAGTCAACACCGCCTGCCAGGGACACAAAACTGCTGCCCTGGGAGCCGGGGTGGCGCAGCCCTGCCCCTGTCATGTTCCACAAGCTGTGTTTCTCTATTTTTCTGTCTGAGAGTTTACAATTAAGTAAGCTTTGTTTCAACAGCATGAACAGACAAAAGCTAAAAACCACACGCCAGAGTGACATCCAGAAGCCTACCTACGAAGCACTGAGCCACACCCCAGTCCTATTTTTTATTTTTTTATTTAGAGAACGTGTCAGAGTTGCTTAGGGCCTGCCAAGGTGCTGAGGCTGGCTTTGAACTCACAATCCTCCTGCCTCAGCCTGCAGAGCCATTGGGATTACAGGCGTGCGCCTCTGCGCCCGGCTATGAATCAACCTATTTCCCCAGGCAGTGCCTACACATGGGGGCATGTCCACAGCCTGCTTCACTTTTTCCCAAACTTATATTTAACACCCAGAGGTTAATCCATTCGAGCCATGGCACCAGCACAGCACCCAGTGACTTTACACTGGAGCCAGAGGGACAGAAACAAATGGTGAACTGGAATGCCCTTGAGGGCAGCTGTCCTCCCTGTCCTGAGCCTTTCTTGGTGTTCTCAGTGTTTTTAAATGAGACTTTTTAACTCACTTAGGGCTCATGGACTCGATCTCTCATTGCTTGAGAAATACACATGGCTGTTTGTATTTCTGCCCTTTCTGCTCTTGTAGAGCACCCTTGCCTTGTCCCCAGGGATGTGTCCCCACTCGAACGCCAGGCCTGTAGCTGCACTCACCACCTCACCTGTCCTCCTCCGTTTCTTCTCTTTTCCTCATTGTAACCACTAATCTAAGCCTCCTTCAGTGGCCTTCCTCACCAACACATCACTGGTACACGACAGGGACCAGTCGTCTCAGAGGCCCTCGTGCTGTGACCTGGAGCCAGATGGTCCAGGCCCGCAGGCGCAGGCACAGGCACTGACTGAGATAGTGAGCACAGCTGGAACAGCACATGCGCATGCTCCCAGAGCAGGGAGCAGGACTGTGGACCTGGCCATTGGCACTTCCCTCCAAGGAAGACCTGCTGTGTGCCCTGCCTGGTGATAATCCTCTCCTGTCTCCCTGTGCACTTGTGTTCCCCGAGGCACTGTCACGGCTCACAGAACACAAGCCCTGGTGAACTCAGGCCTAGGTCTGCCTGGCGGCTGAGTGTGTCACTTTAATAAGGAACAGCACATGCACTTTCAAAGCAGTCACGAGTTCCTTCAGGGAAAGAAAGGTCGTGTGTGCAGGAGAGATCGCCCTCAGATTGATCCAAAGGGAGAAAGAGGACTGAGTCTATTTGTGATTCTTGGCATTTGTGAACACAAATTTTTAATCTGGTAATGGCGAACACGAATGAACTATGCAGGATGCCTGATGTCCTTCACGTGAGAAAACAGGTCCTCAGTGTGCTGGAGACCTAAACGGGGACCCATGCTCCGCTTGATAGCAGCACTTTCTTTTTTTAAAATATCTGTAGTTGTGGATGGACAAAATACCGTTATGTAATTTTATGTGGTGCTGAGGATCAAACCCAGGGCCCTACACATGCGTGGGAAGTGCTCTACTACCAAGTCACAATCCCAGTGAAAATAGCAGCACTTTTTTTAAAAAAATTATTATTATTAGTTTTTTAAGTGGACACAATACCTTTATTTTTCATTTATGTGGTGCTGAGGATCAAACTCAGTGCCTTAAGCATGCTAGCCAAGCACTCTCCCACTGAGCCAAACCCCAGCTCCACGCAGCAATTTCTTAATGCAAAACTGAAAACTCAGGCCTGGTGCAGGGGTACACGTCTGTAATCCAGCAGCTCAGGAGGCTGAGGCAGGAGGATCACAAGTTCAAAGCCAGCTTCAGCGAAAAGAGAGGCGTGAAGCACTCAGTGTGACCCTGTCTCTGAATAAAATACAAAACAGGTCTGGGATGTGGCTCAGTGGTTAATGCCCCTGGGATCAAACCCAGGACAAAAAGAATCCTCCCAATGCAGTTATTTCCTTCTCATTAATGCAGAGGCAGCAGGCAACACTCCCGCATAGCAGCGGCTGAGGAACACGTACGGTGAGTATTTTGTTGAGTATTTTAACACCATGGAAATGAGAAGACAAGAGACCCAGTTGGAGCAGAGAGAAGACAGGCAACTTGAGGGCATAGTAAAAACTATTTTAAACCAAAGCACTACTACTTAAACCATCCCTAAATTCCCCCCCCCCAAAAAAAAAGGCAGAAAGAGGGTGAAAAAGATAAGGGAAAAACTCCATGTGCTACTTTCTCCATTTTTTATTTTAATTAAAAAATTCTGAAATTGACCAGGTCTATAAAAACTCATTTGCATAAAACTACAACTAGTGAACTCACATAACTAGTACACTTCAGAATCAACAGAACGTGCCAAGGAATGGCCTTACCTTCCACCGTGACCTCAATTTCAGGAACCTTTGAGTTACTCCCAGGGCTCCGTGGTCTTTTGGGGGACTGCAATGCTGTAAAATAAGACACGATTACTTTTGTAAATTGTTTAAAAAAATTATAGAAGGGGATGCTTTATAAAAGCAGAGTATTAAAATTCATACAGTTTGGTTCTTTTCAAAGAAACCTGAAGAATTAAACTGGTAGTGTAATCCTCCATTGAGTCTCAACAAAGCTGTGGAAACACGAATGAAGGAGGATTGCAAACATGACATTTTCAATGAAATGTAAAGAAAAAAGAAAAAGAGAGAGAGAGAGAAAGAACAAGAGGAACATTAAATAAAATACCTAAATGACAAATAAACCAAACCCCACAAGACGGTGCATGCTCAAGTCTGACATAAGGAACTTGACAAGGAAGGTTCCAGAGCACTGAGCGCGGGAAAGAGCCACACGCCTCTTACCTTTAGTATTTACTTTGCCGGCCATTCCAGGAGGCAGGTAGGAAACGACCAGCTCAGGTCTGGAAAGAAAAGTCAGAATCAGGACACAGAGTCGGATGGTGGGCCACAGTTAGTGTAAATGACCACGACCAGTGGTTCTGGCTATGTGTATTCGTGTGTGACTGGTGCTGGGGACTGAACAGGGCCTTGGGCATGCAAGGAAAGCACCCGATAAACTAAGCTACAGCCCCAGCCCACAATCAGTGTTTTTGAAAAATAAAATTTAAAACTAAATTAGTTTCTTCAACCACTGTAGCTCTGCAAGAAGGTAAAGAAGAACTTGGGTCAACAATGTTCAGCCATCATAAGATGTATCAGGAACAACACAGCATATGGCATCCATACCAGGCAGTGGGACACACCTGTCACCTCCCCAGCAACCACAGGCCCAAGGCTGGCCTCCAATTTTCAAAACAGAAGGAGAAAAAAAAAAAGATTTACAGACAGGTGCACGCCTATAATCCCAGCATATTAGGAGAGAAAGCAGGAGGATCGCAAGTTCACAGCCAGTCTCAACAAAAGTGAAGCCCTAAGCAAATCAGTGAGACTCTGTCTCAAATACAAAAATAGGGGCTGAGGATGTGGCTCAAGCAGTAGCGTGCTCACCTGGCATGCAGAGGGTGCTGGGTTCGATCCTCAACACCACATAAAAATAAAATAAAGATATTGTGTCCACCGAAAACTAAAAAATAAATATTAAAAGATTCTCTCTCTTAAATTAAAAAAAAAAATAGGGGTGGGGATGTGGCTCAGTGGTCAAGTGCTCCTGAGTTCAATCCTCAGTACCAAAAAAAAAAAAAAAAAAAAAGAAAAAGAAAAAGAAGATTTGCAGAGGAAATGGATAACGACAGGATTTCAGCCCAGAGCCAGGCTTTCCCAGCAGGGACTTCAAAATCCCACACTTCTAAGAAAAAAAGTTAAGTAGAAATACTCCACCAATTCCAGGGCTGGGGATGTGGCTCAAGTGGTAGCGTGCTGGCCTGGCATGCGTGTGGCCCGGGTTCGATCCTCAGCACCACATACAAAGATGTTGTGTCCGCCAAATACTAAAAAATAAATATTAAAAAAAAAAAAAAAAGAAATACTCCACCAATTCCAAAAAGGGCTGAGGTAGCCAATGACTTACTTTTTAACAACAAACTTAATTTTATTGCTCCCACGGACAATCCTTTCAAGTCGAGGAATTCCAAACCAGGTGGGGCTTCGGAAGGGAATTCCTTCTGGCAAACCCTCCACATAGAGGAACTCCGGGTTGGATTCGAACACAGGGTATGGTACTTTCACTGCCTCTGTAAGTCCAAGAGCTTGAGCTGAAAAGAGTAGGAGAAYGTTACTTGTGGTGGAAAAAAACCTCACCTTGTTTTATTTGTGGCGACTTACTATGTTCTGCACATATTTAAGTCGCCACAAATATGTCCCTACAATCTACTCACATCCCCCTTAAGACTGAAGGCAATAGGCTTAGTATGCTATGAAATCTGAGAATCATCCTAAAACCTACGTACTTTCTAGAGAAGCATTTTAACACTCTAAATCAAAAGGAGGCCCACAGTTGTGCTGTCAATCAAAATGGCCTCTGTGCTCTGGGCCCAGCAGCGGCACCCCCGTCTCAGGACTGTCCTCCAGGTGGAAGCTGGCTACTGAAGCACACAAGAAGTTCAGGTCACATTTGTGCAGCACTCACAGCCGAGTGGCCAGAAGCAGAGGACACAAGGCTCCTCCTCAAGGACACAGCCAACACTAGGTATTACATGATGGACAGGAACGCCCAGGACACTCTAGCTCCCCATTCCTTACTTCCTTCTCCATGACAGACAGACCCAATCAACTGAACACTCTTTCTTGCTGAGCCTCCTCAGAATCCTTCAAGACAGCGCACCAGGAAACCGCTGTCAACAAATCTAAGTTGAAACAAATGAGGAGACCTATTTGCCACGCAGGTGTTAGCCAGATCAGAAGTAGAGACAATGGATCTGAGATTCCCCCACTCCTCCCTTCTCTCCCACAGTAACATTCAAGAACACTGCAGCCAAAAGAAATAATGATTTGTTTGGTTTATGTACCAAGTTTAGAGGAGAAATAAACACTATCACAAACTTCTGGAACTTTCTGTAGGTCCTGAACTTTTAATTCATTCAGAACATGGCCTTCATTTGTTTTTAAGCTCAGGAAGACATAACCAATGTGTTCTACTTACCAAATTTCAAATTAAAAATTTCTTCTACTTGCTTCCGTAGCTTGGTAATTCTAACATTCCAATCTTCTTTGACTGGGGAAAAAAAATTAGATCTAATCAATTAGATTAGATGTAGACACAGGAATGGAGATAATTTGTTTCCATTGATGCCCTTAATTTTGGTTTAAAATCAAAAATCCTGGGTAGTAAGGAAAAGAAGGCTTTCTTGTATTTGTCAAACATGAGAAGTGATGCAGGAAGGAGAATTCAAATTTAAATTTATGTTGTAAATGATGAAAAACCTATTCTTGCAAGAGCGCTCAAAACTCATGGTTTTCTTAAATCCCTTCTTGGTGCTGCATCAGGACACGTACAAGATATACCCGACTCTCACGCTGGTCACCTTGGTATTCACAAAGATGATTTCAAAAATTCAGGGACACCTAAGGCAAACTTGGGATTTACCTTGCTGTCCACATTCCTTTCCTGGCACATGGAACGCCACAGAAGACTGCACATGGCTATTTACAGATCCTTGACAATTGGTGTCCCCAAACCACAAAAGATCTATAAAGTACCATTCCCCCTTTGCTGACACTGGGCAACAATAAACAAGAAGATGGGAAGGAAAAACACACTTCCTCCACTGGGGCCTGGCCTCAGCCCTGCGCAGGGCGGGCACCGGGGGAGCTCACTAACAACAGGGCCCGAGGAGTGGGATACAATTCTGTGTGTGTTTGGTCTAACATGAAAAGTTACTGGCCATGTGGGCCTGTTGCACAGATGCACTGTGTCCAGCTAGAACCAAGACAGGCTCCAAGTGTAAAAGACCCCAGACTGTCAGAGGACACACGTTCCAAGTGGAGATTACAGAGGGAAACACACCAATCTAGCTACAGGGAAGCACAGAATGCACTGGCAGATGCACAGGTGGCTGCCAGACAGCATCAGGCTACAGCAGTGCCCAGCTGTCCACACTGCCTGTGCCTGTGCCCAGCTTCACAAGAGGCGTGGGCAGGGAGGCAGGAAGGAGGGCTCCATGGCTCTCCAAGACGGAGTCTGAGGGAAGGAGAGGGACGGACTCCACACTCTCTTACCTGGAGTGTTGGTTCTTGGCTGAGTGACTTCAGTTGTACTATGAGTCAGCAGTTCTGGTCTGTCAAAGTACGAATCATGTTATGACAGAGCATTTAGGAACAATTTGAAGACCTTTCTCAGGTAGCTGTACACTGCGAATTATTTTAAAATATGTCTTTGCAGTGAAATAAAACCATTTGGGTGCCTAGTTTTTCTTGGGGGTTTTTTTTTKTTGTTGTTGTTTTTTTTTGGTACTGGAAATTGAACTCGGGGGCACTTGACTGTTGAGCCACATCCCCAGCCCTTTTTTGTATTTTATTTAGAGACAGTGTCTCACTGAATTGCTGAGTCTGGCTTTGAACTCTTGATCCTCTTGCCTCAGCCTCCAGAGCTTCTGGGATTACAGGCAAGCGTCACTGTGTCCAGCTACTAGTTCATTTTGAAAATAGCAATCTTCACACACTCACATGGAATTACACGGAGGTCTTTAAAGGCACTCTATGCTTAAATGTGCAAAATAATTGCTTTCCTCCAAACCAAGGCAGACTGCTATTTCTAAATCTTCAAGGAGCTATACCACAAAACAGTTTCTCCCTTCTAACTCTCAGTCCCAATAAATACACACAACTACCAACAAGCGACAGTCTACCATTGCACAGTCCTTCTGTGAGTAAAGATGAGCCAAACTAACCCTCATCTATCAAACCAGAATTCTCTTTCCAAAGTGCAGACCCAAGCAATGACAAGAAGAATCTGTTCTAGACCTTTCATTGACTGTCACTGCATCTGTTGGCTTCCCTATGCTTATCGCCTGAGTATGGATCCCAGTGTCCACTACACCACGCCCTTGGTGCCAGGCATCACTCCTTCCATGCAGGACGGCTCCATGTAGAGACATGCAAGCAAGCTGACACCTCCCGTCTCCTTATGCCGTCTGGTGTCTGAAACACCCTTCTTCTATTCTGTATGCACCTGGAGGTGCTGCTGTCCTCACCGACTCCCCTGACCATGCTCAGGGACACTGAGCACTCTGTTGTGTGCATACGCCTATCAAGGGCAGGACAGACCCAGTTCTGTACATCTTGCACCAACACCTGCTAAAGATGAAGCTAAACGTCGTTTTCTGGTTTTAAATATATAGAGAAAGAGTTCTACTGAAAGGAAAACAAGGTCCCAYCTTCATCAAATGCGTCTTAGGAAACACTTTAAAAACCTGTTTCTGCAGATGATAATCTTACCTTTTAATAACAAATTTTATCCGATTTCCCACTTGAATGATTTTCTCCAGCCTTGGAATTCCATACCAAGAGGGACTTCTAAAAGGAATGTTTTCTGGTAGCCCTTCCACATAGAGGTCATTAGGATGCGCCTCAAATTTTTGGTACGGTACAGCCTTGGCTTCAGTGCTCCCCAAGGCCTCAGCTGAAGAAAATTAAAGCAATGCAGGAAACTAAGTTTGTGTGGAAGTCATATTTTAATACAGTATATGTATTTTCTATCTTAGCAGGATCTGAAACAAGGGCCTCCCTCACATATACTAGGCAAGTGCTCTACCACTGAGCTATACCCCCAGCGGTTTTTATTTTTATTGTGAGACAAAGCCTCCAACTTGTGATCATTTCTCAGCTTTCCCAGCAGCTGGGATTGCAGGTCTGCCCTAACAAGACCAAAAATAAGCATAAAGGAAAGTTGAATGTGGAGAGGTAAGAGGAAGGAAAACTGAAGAAAAGGAGGAAGAAAAAAAGAAAAGAATTTTCAGCTAAGAACTGATGGGATGAAAAATAAAAACACTAAACTGAGACTGTTTTAGATTAAAAGAGGCACAAAACAAGTTTAAGCATGACCCTTGTTTAGATCCAAATTCAAAGCAAAAATATTTAAGCTATTTTCCAGATAAATAAAAAAAAACTCAATTAAAGATTGGATGAGCTGATACAGGAAATTGTTTTAATCTGGGGGTGGGAGCAGGACGGGGACTGGGCCTGGGGCACTCTACCACTGAGCCACATCCAGAGCTGTCCTCTCTCTGTCACTCAGATGGGCCTCCAACCTGCAATTCCAATGCCTGAAACAGCTCTTGGTTTTGTCAGATGTGACATGAGGAAATGTCCATGCTGCGTAGGCACACACGCAGAATGGCTAAGTGACAGGATGCCAGTGATCTGCTCTGTAATATTCATGCAAAGACAGAAGAAGAGGAACCTGGGACAAGAGAAGGAGATGTGACAGAATCTCAAGGATCGGTGGGACTGGACTAATGGGAATCTGGGGATCACTGTGCTATTTCTCTCTACTTTTGAATAGCATAAAATTACAACTAAAAAGCATAAAACTGAATTTATTAATCCCCGCTCTGAAACCATGTCCAGAGCTCTAAAAAATTCAAAGGATTTACATAACACCAGTACATATGGCCCTCCCTGCACGTGACATTGAATTTTCTGCACCTGGTAGTTTACACAGGGGCTCACTGCATTTCTTTGTTCTTGGCCTGACTTAAATTTCTTTCATCAAATTACCAGCACAAATAAAGCAGTCACTCAGGCTAGGATGGGGCTTTATGTGTGCCTTGCAGGCTCGAGACCTGGGGCTTGATCCTCAGCACAACAAGCCAAACAAAATTAAAATAAAATAAAATAAAAAATCCTAGGGCTGGAGTTGTGGCTCAGTGCTAGAGTGCTCATCTTGCACRTGTGAGGCATTGGATTTGACCCCCAGCACCACATTAAATAAAGGTATTGCGTCCATCTACAACTAAAAAGATCTTCAAATATGCTATGAAAAATCTGAAGGTGAGTCAGATTCATCTTACTTTCCTAAAATTAAAAAAAAAAAATTGTATAATATGCTTCAGTTGGAAAAAAACAGACTTACCAAACTTTTTGCAGAAAAGTTGATCTACCATCTTTCTTAGCTTAGTGATTCTGGCATACCACTCTTCTTTGACTGTAAGAATCAGTACATAAATTTTCTCAATTTCGTGGCTTTAAGGGCTCAGACTGTGACATATCATGATCATAAAATGACATTTTTTTCCTTTTTGTGACTAAGCCATTTCTAAGATGTCAGAGTGCTTCATTACTAAAGAGATGCTGACTGAGCAAAAAAAAGAACCAATGAAACCAAGTTCAATAAAGCCAGGAAAAAACTGGTTTACTCGAGAACAAGCTTTATTCTGCAATGAAAGTCCAGGGGTGTGACCGCACAGGCAGAATACTTCCATGACACCAGCTCCAGCCGTGTGGCTTCCATCTTCCACCCCTGCCCCCCTCCACTCCAGACAAAGGCAAACACAAACATAAAGAAATACACTGTACTTCTTGCAAAGAAGGACTCACTCACAGGGCTGCAGCCACCTGCTCTGAAAAGCCAGCCCCCAGGCCCAGGAGCGGTCACCACACCCAGCCCTTCAATGAGGGGCCCAGGGACCAGGAGAGACCAGTCCAACTAAAAAAATGGTGATGAAGCAAAACTCTGCCTCTCAAAAGTAGAACACGCAGGGTTCCTTCAGTTCTGCCTACCCAGTAACRGGATGTCCCTCCCCACTATTCACGATGGGCCACCATTGAGAAAGAGAGCTATGGTGCTGGAGGACTCTGAAACACTTGTGCCTGCGGTGGCACCCCGCCAGTGGCCATGGTACCTTCCTTCCCCACAGGTGGCTCAAAGGAGAGACCAAGGCACACAGCCTTCTGCTGTTGCCAAGATTGGAGACCCACCTCCGGACGCGGGCTTGTCGAGCTGCAGGTCTTCCCGCGTGGAGTTCAGGAGCTCGTGTCTGAAAGGCAGAGTGAGCAGTGAGGACTACCAGAAGCAGGTGGCGAGATGGGAACCCGAGTACATACTGACGCCACGAAGGCTGGTGTCAAGAAGAAAAGACCTCCTGGACTCTGGGGCACAGTAAACCTAAGTTTCTGGGGTATCTACAGTGTGAACAGAACGGTAACTGTAAAGTCTCCTAAGGTGCCTTGGGGATCTTGTGTCCTCTCAGGAAAACAGGCACCTTCGCAACCCAAAGGCATTTTAATAAACATATTACAAAAATTTTAGGTGAGATTATTTAATTTGGGGGAGGGGGGTGCGACCAAGAGTCGAACTCAGGGCACCCGACCACTAAGCCATGTCCCTCACCCTATTTTATTTAGAGAGAGGTTTTTACTGAGTTGCTTAGCATTTCACCATTGCTGAGGCTGGCTTTGAACTCACAATCCTCCTGCCCCAGCCTCCCCACCCACTGGGATTATATGCGTGCGCCACGGCGCCTGTTGAGATCCTTTAATTTTATATTATTTTCAAGACTATCTACTTCCCAACACCTAACAACTGGTAACTAAAATTCTAAATATGTCAGAAATTCATATAGAATGATGTCAGCAAAATTCATAGTGTCTGAATAATATTAATAAACTGTGAAACAAAACATTTACTAAATTCTGAGATTAAAAAAAYCCTACACTTTTAAAGTCAATGCTAAAAAATTTAGAGCTTTTCTTTTTCGTTATTAGGGATTAAAACCAGGGCGCTTTACCATGAGCTATACCCACAGCCCTTTTTTTGTTGTTTATTTGAGACAGGATCTCACTGAGTTGCTTAGGGCCTCACTAAATTTCACAGGCTAGCCTCAAACTTGCCATCCTCCTGCCTCAGCCTCCCAGGTGTGCACCACCACATACCTAGCCCTAGTTTTCCTTTTCATTCTTACTTCTACTATTTCGTTTATTTTATATTTTACACTTATATATTTACACATATGCTTTGAAATTTTTAGAACTAAAACTAAGACATACATTAGTATACCTAGCAAAAAATGGAAGGAAAAGGACAATTATAGGCCCACTGGTTAGAGGCAAGTGTTTGAAGTTTAAAAGTCAATTGTAGCATACTGAGGCAATTCTTCATGCAGACCAACTTAAAAGTGGAAGATAAAATTACATATAGTAACCCAAACATTTATACAACCCTCGTGGCTCATGAGTGTCGATCACGTCCTAATGAGAACAAAGGCAAGAAATGGTGAAGTGCACGCGTCTTACTTCTTGATCACAAAACGAATCCTTTCCTTTGCAAGCAATATCCTCTCGAGTCGAGGAATTCCATACGTAGACGGCCTTCTAAAAGGAATTCCTTCGGGAAGTCCCTCTACATAAAGATCTTCAACATGAGACTGGAAAAGAGGGTATGGGATCGTCACCGGACCTTTGGCTTTTATTGCTTGAGCTTTAACGATAAAAAGAGAAAGGGATCRTGTCATTACAAGACAGGGATCTGAGCACGCTGTAGAAAGTAATAATCAAACACACACTGTTCTTGGGTGCCTATCATTTTATCTTATTCCTGTTAGTAAAACTGAATCAGAAAAAAAAAAGTCCATGAGAACTAAAAGAACACCCAGGAACCCATATTCTGTCCCCCTAACCCTAACCTAAGGCACTGCAGACGGAGCCAGACTTTCTGCTGAAAATGGAGGCAGAGTGTGAAAGGGAAAGGAGCACCACCCGCTCCCGGGGTGGCTGTGCCGGGAACAACAGCAGCGTGTAGAAGACACACTTGGTCTAAATGCTGTGGGTTCACAAAGGATTTCTTTTATATAACAGGAGGGGAAACTTATGAAATGAAAAATTTCTGCTAATACTTATTTATTCAACAGTAAAATAATACAAGAGTTATGAAATGTCCAAATCCTGGGAAATAGGAATAATCAGATATAGCTTGCCCTCCCCATTAAGTCTCATTTTTTACTGGTATTCTGAACAGAAATCTATTTATTGAACATTAACTTTCAAGTGCCATGTCACACATGAGTGCCAAGGGAGATGCACAGCCCCTCCTTTGCTGATATGCTGAATCTAAAAAACACAATTACAGACCTGTGAAAACGTCTGCCCTAAAGAAACTGCCATTAAGGTGGCTTTGAAATTTTAAGATGTGAAGATTGTGATTGCAATTTCACAAGATTTAGTAAACAATTATTTTCCTTGCTCTATGCAAAATAAATGAATAAATCATATTCATAACAAAAGCTCAAAAACGTAACCCCGCTACACTTTATGGGAGCGGAAATCAATAACGTCATGTCAGCACCAAGCCATTCTACCCAGAACAGCCAGAACCGAGCGTGAGAGCAGGGCAGGGCGCGGGTCATGGGCTTCTGGGCAGGTGCCATGTGCAGCACTCTGCGGCCTCAGACCTGCAGGGCAGGTGTGCCTTCTCCCTTCACAGAAAGTTCAGAGGGCAGAGACACACTCAGGCACTCCGTCCCCAGAGCCTAGATGTTGAGAGCCACAGCCAAAGGGGCCCTAGCAAACTTCCAGCTGCCGGCTGATGATTGGCTCACAGCGGCCCAGCAACATCTAGCTGATTGGCTCCTCTGCGGTGATGTTCATTGGGCTGTTTCCCTGCCCTTCAGACTACGGAACTGCTCATTGGGGGACTTCTTTGGCTCCGCCCACGCGACTCAGCCAATCGGCCTCAAGAGCAGGAGGATTGTGGGAGGTGGTGTGGTTGGTGTGGAGAGAGGCTTGTGGAAGCCGGTGGTGGCAGTTGGGCTCTGAGGGTTTTTCCTGAGGAGCTGTTTTGTTTGGCTATGTCACTATGTCACATGGCTTCCACACAAAGTATGTCAGGTGCATTCTGCTTTGAAATGGAGCAATTAAAAGCACATACAAAAACAGGCTTGAAACTCTTGACAAAGTGGGAGGAAACTAAAAGAACCTTAAGGAAATAACTGAAAGCATTTCAGAAAAGTTAGCAAACTTACTCTTAATTCTAGATTTTCACTGAGCAATTGGTTTGTTGCCCTGACAAAGAAACAAATGTTGGGGCTGGGATGGTGGTTCAATGTGTGAGGCACTGGGTTTGATCCTCAGCACCACAATCAAATAAATGAATAAGAAAAGGGTCTATCAACAACAACAACAAAAAAAAAAAAATTAAAGAAACAAATGTTGAGCCAGGCATGGTGGGGGACGCCTGTAATACCAGTGGCTCAGGAAGCTGAGGCAGGAGGATCAAAGTCAGGGCCAACCTCTCAGCAACTTACAGAGACTCTGTCTCAAAATAAAAAGACAAAAAAGGGCCAGGGATATGGCTCAGTGGCTAAGCACTGCTGGATTCAAGAAAAACTATGTTCAAGTTTCTTAAGGTAAATAACAGTAATATAAGTTCTAATGTTACAAAACTTCACATAAAGAAATTCAATGCCAGCTGGACGCCATGGTGCAGGCCTGTAATCCCAGCAAGTAGGCAGACTGAAGCAGGAAGATCACAACTTCAAAGCCAGCCTCAGCAACTTAACAGAGATCTGTCTCAAAATAGGAAAAAAAAAAAGGGCTAGGGATATAACTCTGTAGTAGATTACTCCTGGGTTCAATTACCAAGACAAAAAAGAAATAAGAAATTAAATGATGCAGGAAAACATTATAATAGATTTGCAAGCTAAATTTCAATATATTGAGCTGGGTGCAACGGTGCACACCTGTAGAGTACCATCTACTTGGGAGTCGGAGGCAGGAAAATTGCTCGAGCCCAAAAGTTTGAGATCAGCCCAGGCAACTTTATAAGACCCCTGCTCAAAATAAAACAASAAGAAGAAAACCAACTGTATTACAGAATTTTGCAGCCTGCCTCATAGGAGGCAAGAGCCCTTGTCTGGCATGAATACAACCCTGGGTTCAATCCCAAGGACTAGGGGGAAAAAATAAAACACATGACATTTTTCAATGATTATTGCTTTTTTTAGATGAGCATTTGATATATACCATCTGGTGATAACAAATCGCTTTTCTTTCACCATTACATAGAATAACTACAGGATAAAGCAGGAAAGTAAAGAAGTAAAGATTCTGAAATCTAACAAACTTATTTAATTATCAACAACAGAAAATACAGGCATCTCAATGAATAATGAACTTATTACACAGCAGACCAGAAGCAGCTCAGGAAAACCATCTTCAAGTAACTTTTAAAATCCAAGACTTTGTCATGATATGTAAAGATATCCACAAATGTGGATACTCAACATTTAAAAGAAATGTTAATAGACATTTAAAGAAATTAAAAAATAAAGTTTCCACTATCCAGCCTCTGAAAGTGACCTCTGTAAATGACCTTGTTGGGGACAGTGTGTGAGGGAGGCACGGCTCCAGGACAGCCCTGGCCATGCGCTCCTCAACCTGCGATGGTGAACACTAACTCCACTGTTTAAATTCTTCCAACCAAGAATTAAAAGAATTCTTCCATTTAGACATACCGTATTTTCTTTCAAACAACTCTTCAACTTGTTTACGTAGATCAGTAATTCGCGCATTCCATTTCTCTGAAAATTGAGAGGACCGGTCAGTATCAGATGTGCAGGCGGGTGTCGCTGTGCCCTCCATGACCCACATCGCCTGCTCTGAGCCCACCCCAGAGCCCGAGTCTCACCAGTCCCTCGGGCTGCACTGCTTTCCCAGGGCTTCTCCCCCTTTTGTGGTTCTTAGAATGATTTCAAAAGGAGATTATAAGGAACGTTTTGAAGTTTATTTTCAAACCCCTTCCCAATGACTACCTCCCTGTTTTAAAGCCTTTCAGTTTCTGACAAGGAGGTGGTCAGAGAGGAACAGTYCAGTTAAACACCACAAGACAAGGGCAAGAGAGCAGGGCCTTCAGGGGACTCAGGAATCCTCCAGGGCGGGTGCTAGCTAGGCGGAAATAAGATTTGACAAGTGCGTAGCTGCGACTTCACAGAGTCTTAAAGAACATAAGCGTGAATAAATTTGTGTAGACAAAAATTCAATCTCCATCGAGTAGTTGTGACTTTAACAAGGGAGGATATTAAAGACACTGCCTCCAGGGCTGGGGCCGTGACTCCGTGTCGAGCACCTCCCCAGCATGGGCAAAGCCCTGGGCTCAATCCCCAGCACCACAAATAAATAAATAGAAAGATAGAGAAACAAATGAATGAATGAATAAAATGTTATTTTCAAACATAAATGAGATAAGCATTCTCTTTATTGGAAGAACGGCTCACACATACAATTCACCATGGATATTTTATTTAGTCCCTTAATCTACTGACTGGGAACTGGGGGCTGGTGTATTAGCAGGTGGCAGTCACACAAAACAAAAATGAAAATCAAGAAGTCAAACAGTCCTTAAATAAAAGGAGATTTTAATGCTAAGAGAAATAATTGCTAAGTCATCAACAGAGTCCGCTCGCTGTGCTTAACGCCAGAAGCTACATTCTTAAGGCTTCAGCGAACCCAACTGACTGGGCCCACTTTCCAGAAGAGACCACAGCGCTGCTGTCCCTGCTGAGGGCCTCCGCCTGTCACCACAGCACAGAGCTGGAGAGGCCCTGCTCCACGGGAACTTACCGAAGTTGAACTCCCTCACTTTCCGCTTCCCGGCATTTGCAGGCTCTGCAACAGGCGGCTGTGGAGGCTCGTTGCTCTTTGGTCTCTTGGTGGGTGGAGAGTAATCATCATCTTGAGAAAGAAAACTGTCATTAYTAGAGGAACAGGGTACAGGAGTGACAGCCCAGGCCTGTCAACCTCTCAGCACCAAAGGCACAAGGGGCATCAAGAACCACTCCTAGGACCCCTGCCACTACAGTTTTCCAGGCCAGGCCGCCACCTCCCACTCCTCTGGCAAGTGAACGGCTGCAGCCTGCTCCTCTGCCTCGCTAGTGTTTTTAGTTCACTCCATCTGAGATGCCACGTTATAAAATTCTTCCATCTCCTCAAGTATTTTTCAAATGGCTGCCTAGAATCTTACTCTAGATTTTTCAAGAACAAGTTCTAACAGAGACATTCACCTAAATTTATCCAAACACAGCAGGAGGAAAAATAAGGCTCGAATGAAAAATACTCACATTGAGTTTATAGAAAACCCAAGCATGTATCAACAAGGGAGGGTGGATTAACTGTATATCAAACACAAAATTTACAGGATGAAAGAAACAGGGCCATATTACTTATGAAACAAATGCTGGTTCACGCAACAAAGGACACATGCATAAATGGGCCATCAGATCTGCACACAGACGGCTGAAGACACCTGTTGGAGGCCCATGCTAATTTCCTGCAGACTATGTCTGCAATACCAGAGTCCTCCCTAAGAACCCCAGGCAACCCATGCCACTCGGAGTTCTATTTAACATCATCTGTAAATTGTGAAAAATACCATTTTAATAACAAATATCGTATGTATAAAGTGAAAAACAATTGCTGTTTAAAAAGACAATAGCAATGACAAGACGGTCAAATGCGGCAAGAAACTGCTTTAGGGCAGATGAATTTGCTCTCGCTTCACAACTACATGGGTGCAGAGACTGTGGGGTGATCTGATCACATCCCACCACTGCACACACAGTGCAGCCAGGACCACACTCTGGGGTAGTTACTGTCCACTAACCACGAGGTCAACTCTCAGAAATGGAAGGAATGCACATCTGAAGCAGGGCACAGCGCCACACACCTGTAAATCCCAGCAACTCGTCGGAGGCTGAAGTCAAAAGGATTCCAAGTTTGAAGCCAGCCTGGGCCACTTAATAAGACCCTGTCTCAAAATAAAAAAATGTATGAAGGGCTGGGGGTGTATCTGGGGGCAGAGTGCCCCTGGGGTCCATCCCCAGTACTGCAAGGAAAAACCTGCCCATCTAGCTCCATGTACCATGTTGCCTGGCACAGCGGCAGGCCAGCTGCAGTACTGTCTGTCTGTCTGTCTTTTTAAATCTCTCTTGCCACGGGAGAGCTTTTCCCCCTCAGTGGTGAAAAGGATTGAACACAGAGTCACTCTACCACTGAGTCACATTCCCCAGCTCTTTTTATCTATTATTTTGAGACAGGGTCTCACCAAGTTGCTGAGGCTGGCCTTGAACTTGGCTCTTCCTGCCACAGGCATGCAGGTGCACCCAACCAAGTGCTGGATCTGAAGGGGAACCTTTGAGTGGAGCTGAAAATTCTGGCACCTCCTTGCCCTACGGCAGCAGGGAACACAGACGACACTACTGTCCTGCTCGCTGCCACCAGGCCTCCCTGTAATGCCAAAGTCACCTGAGAGTATCTGGCAGCTGTTACAGTAAAAAAACGGTACCAACCCAACAGGCACCAGATAAAACCCCACTGGAACCTAATTATGTGTCTGGCAAGATGAAACTGCTTTTTGAGGATGATACTTTTATTTCAGGAAAACATATTAATAATTTCCAACATTCTAAACACCTTGTTGTGGTGAAGCCATTTTAGAAACCCTGTTTCAAGGAAAATCAAGGAAAGAAATCTGAAAATAACTTAAAAATTACAAACCCTCAGTAAAGTAAGACCAGACTGTCTACATCACCTCAGTTTATAAACTACTGTAAGGATTTCAAATAGTCAAAGGTGATATAAATAGATTAAGTGAAAATATAATGGCAAATATACTGGGTATTATTTTTAAGTTTAACTCTCAAATTATACTTTGAAAATTCAGGCCACAGGGTCCCTTACTTGAAATTTCGAGAGGAAACCTGTTTTCCTTTCTACAAGCCACTTGCACACCTCGGTTCAGAGCAGGCGCTCAGCCACCATGTCTGTGTTTGGCCAGCGCTTGCTAAACAGTGTGTGACAGGACTTTGATGGCCTTCCCCGCCCCCCATACTAGGGATTTGACCCAGGGACACTCTCACTGGACTGGACTCCCCAGATCTTGTCATTTTTTATTCTGAGACAGGATATCCTTCACTGCTGAGGCTGGCCTCAAGCTGGCCATCCAGGGTAGACTTTCATCATAATCAAATTGTCAATTTTTTAACATCCAAACTTACATCCGTTCAAAGTTTAAAAAAAAATGGGTATACTGTGTCTTTTGAAAAAGTTAGAGCCACTAATTACACTGCACAGTTCAAATAAACAGATCCCATTTCTTCACACAAGCATCCAATTTAAAGTAATTCACCTAAATCCACATTTTTACATAAACAATTATGTATTCACCAACTATTTAAAAGCTATAAAAATTTACAACACAAACTTTTAAAATGCTGACCTACGCAATCTACCCCAGTAGCACTCCTGAGAAGCACAGTAACCAACCTACCTAGAACTAGCAAGGTACGCGCTCTCTTTCAAACCCACCCAGACACACTCACTCCTACCTCTACTGCCCCCGCCTGCTGGGAGCACTTCTCTCTGTGCCCTGCGTGAATGCCATGGCCCCCTGAACGAGTTCTCTTTCTACTGTAAGTTATTCTGAGTGCCTTCAACACTGTGGCTATGTTTCTTGAAATAAGCAGCAGGTCCCGTCATTCCTCTTCAAAGCATGCCAACTGATCCACCTGTTTTGCCCACTGTTAAATCTTCAGCACCCAGTACACTACTTGGCACATACAAGGTCCCCAATATTTGTGGAAAATTTAAGTGAACATGCCTAGTATAGGGCTTATTTATATGCAGCACTAATTCTTTGACATTGCCAAAGAATGAATTCCACAAAAAGTTACCAGAGAATGACACATACCCACTGTCAATTGTAAATCCACCATGATATCAAAACTCTAATACAACAGTGACCCAATTTGTTGTATGCAGCTTCTCTAAAACACTCATCTGTGTATAAACAATTGGGTCTTCATTAAGTGACTGTCTAGCAGGTATAAAWAGAACAAAAATTTTCAAATGTTAAGTTTAATCACAGATTCTCTGATTGCTATTGTAATAACTGTAGGACATGTAATCAAATACATAAGGAAGGATGTACGTACACAGTACCAGTATAATACCAGGACCTGGTGCCTGCCAAGCAAGCAATCCATCAATGAGCCACTCCCCTACCTCTTACGTACACCTTTAAAATAGACTAAAAATAAAAATTTAAAAAATAGTTGACATAGAGAAGTTGACATAGAGAGATGCAAAATAATTWAAAAAATAAATTTACTTAAAATCACTTAAAGAAAACAGTGAAAGAAAATCATGACCTGGATTAGGCCATAGCAAAATGAACGCACTTGAATGACTCAGGATTATTAAAAACAAACTGTGCAATAAGGAAACCCCTTTGAAACCAAAAAGTCCCCTCTATTAGCTGAACCTAGAGTAAGTATATGGTAACAAGCCCTAAAAAGTAATAAAATTTGAGTCTGGGGTTGTGGCTCAGCAGTAGAGCACTGGCCTAGCCTGTTCAAGGCCCTGGGTTTCATCCTCAGCACCACATAAAAATAAATATTTTTTTTTAAATGCTAAGATTTTCTCATCACATATCACAGATATCAGAACTGATAGCAATCACAATGATGCTTATGAAATTGAGGCTTGCAGTCGTCCTGCCCCCAGGGGTCCAAGCTTGAGCTGCCATGTTTTCAAGGCTACCACTGACTCCAGATTTGGGTGGGTCAGCACAAAGAGCACACCCAGCAGAGGGTAAGAGCACTCTACTAACTGAGCCACAACCCCAGCCCCCCAAATTTAATTTTCTGTGGCTATTAAATGGCATCTACCATTCTGCAGTCATCTTTCCAGAAAGAATAAATATACATACCAACCAGATGTCACAGCAAGTTCTTATCTGACCTTCCCTGTTAACATTAACACTTAAGTTTTACCTTCCTCAATGGCTGGCTGAAAAATGGCTGGCGAGGTGACAAACAGCCCACATAGAGTTTACACGGAAACTGCATACAGAGACCAGGAAAATGTCCCTTGTGTTTCACTGGTTTTTTGAATGTGAAGAATCAGCCTATACAGTAAAACTCGACTCTCCAATCACAAATTTGGATGGTAAATAAGATTTATTTTACCGTGTTTAGTTTAAAAGAAATGAGATTCATCACTCCCCCTTAAAGATTAAAGTTGAAATGACTGGTAAATGCTTTAGATTTCAGTTATTTATTTCCTGGTTTTTATAACATCTCGTGGAGTCTTAAAAAAGTGTTTTCTAAATTTTTGAAACAGCCTATGCTCTAAATTTTGATATATCAACTTGATTATTAGTCTTATCCCAAAGTTTCACTTGTATAATTTTAATAACCACCCACTTTTATCATTTCTGTAAATAAAACAAAGTTGTGCTATTTATATGCTCTTATAAATGTTCTCCTCTGACACTTAATGAGGTCTTTATAAAGTAATAATATTTCAATTATTTAATGGGAGACTACAAACAATATAAAGTACCCTTCAGGTTAGTAAAATTCTGTTAATGAGAAAAGAAATCTGTACAGTAATCAACTGAGATAAGCACGTTAAATGTGAAAGGATTTCCCACCCTGGACAGAAACTGCAACCAGCTTACGCTTTASAGGAGGAAAAGCAACCGTCTGGAGCAGCCTGGAGTGGCCAGACACCCCCATTCCCAAGTGACACCAGCAAAGTACAGGGACAACGGGGAAGGGGAGGGACATCCAAGCCCCTGAGACAAGAAAAGTTCGTGCAGCAGTTAGGAGGAAAGAAGTGAGTACCCAAATGGGTGGTCCCAGGGGTGGGCGCTACGGGGAGCCTGAGGGGAATCTGTTACAATGCATGCAAACAGCCTCTGTGTACTTTCACAAAACCACACGCACACACAGACCGCCACACACAAACCACGCCCTGCTGCCTGCTCCCGAGCCCAAGGCAGAACGGGGTGAGGGGAGCACAACTCCTACACAGCTGCGACACCGCGCTAGAGGAAAGGGTTGCACTGATGGGGGAGATCGTGCGTGAGCACTGTGAGACACTATTTAAAAGGAAAACGATCCAATCCACATTTAATAATTATCTAACATGAAAAGACACACTGTCACCTTCATTACAAACTGGCTCATCCGTGCTCTGCCTACCTTTGAAGAAAAAATTAGGTTCAAAGCAACTTCAGCTATAGAGATATTTTCAAATAAACTTGTAGCTATTGCTTAAAAACAGCTTAAAGAACAAATCCCAGGTAAATCACTAAGCAGCATTTCAAGGGGTAGGCAGCAGCTTTAAAGATTACTGACTGGAAGAGCAGGGGCCCGCACCTGCAGGGTGGGCCAGGTGCAAAGCTGAGGAGGGGCGCTCGCTGGAGCCCGGGAGAGCAAGAGCAGCGTGGGAACAGAGTGAAGCCCCTTCTCAGAAAAACACTACTGACAGGCCAGGAATGGTGGGCATGCTCAGCTCCAGCTCCTCAGGAGCATGGCCAGTCCAGCAGCTCCAGGCCACCCTGGGCCACAGAGGGAGACCCTTGCCCCCAAAACAAAACCAAACACTGAAGGGAGACTCAGTACCTTCTCCTACACTGTGCCTTATGAGATACCAAGGGTTCCAGCTCTATCGTGCCTCTACCACACCCAACAGGTCACAGGCTGCTTCTATAGGCACCAAGTCTGGCCATAATGTCCTCGTTCCCACGGACAGAGGGTGTGCTCTGGTCAACTGTGGGCCAACGCTATCTTCTACGGCTCAACTCTGCTGTCCAAAACTCCCAAAGCACCGGGTGCATGGCTGGAAGTGGGCTGCCTGGTCACACCAACACACATACATATACGTATATATGTATCAACTCATTTCAATATAAAGTTTCCTTTATATTGTTTATAAGGTTTCCTTTAAGAATGAATGAAATGCATACTTAGCAATGTGAATGTGACACATTTTATGACCAGAAGTCAACCTTTGGAATCAAGGCTTTTAGACAACTAACCTTCAATAGTCACCTCAACTTCAGGGTCCTCACTTGTTTCTGAAGGGACATGTTGAGTAGAATCTTGAAAAAAATAAAATTCTAAAATGACATTCATTATTAAGCATTTTCCATATGTTCCAACATTTTACTGATTTGATATCCAAAAGCAGCCTACAATAAAATGTAACTGGCATTTTAATTCATTTCATATGTTAAAAATATTTGACCCTGTTGGTTATAAATAGGGATAAAAGAAACGAAACTAGAAAAACTCTAAAACTATTAAATAAAACAAAGTTATCTGCATTAATTAAGAACTCAAAAGAAAAAAAAATATTTCTTGGAAGCATAAAATTACAACAAATTCACACTTGTTTTCCTGCTATAACTAGAAAATGCCAGGATAAAAATAAACGCTTCACACTTGAGATTCCATCTCTCCTCTCCTTGTAAGCACCCTATGGGGGTTTGTAACTGTTAAGTAAAACCACAATCCATCTCTTGTGATGGAGACCCCCTCATCTCAAGGAAACGATTGGGGCAGCTGCATACATGGCTAGACCCTTTCACTCTGTGGCAAGGACTTTCAGCGCTAAGTAAGTGTCTCATTGTATTCAGCAAATGTCTGTTGGAATGTTAGTGCCACAAGCTCAGCTATAGGGTGTTTTCAGTAGCTTGCCTTCATTTTGCAGAGGTGAGAGATTAATTGATTTGCCAGAGATTATGATTACTTGTTAGTAAAGGAGTAAAGACCAGAACCCAGGTTCAATACAATTCTGCTAAGAGTAGAATATGATGATAAAAATATCCCCAAAACAAAGTCTTTCAAAGCCTAGCACCTGGGGCAAGTCCCATACCTGTGAGCCCTGCCCTACTGCCTGTAGCCCTGCACCTCGCAGTCTCTGTCCAGGTCGCTGCAGCGGGGAGGCTGCCCTTCCAAAACCACAGTTTTGAGGCAGAGAGAGTATCAAATCACCTCCGACATCAAAACATGGGCTGACTGCCCCCCAAACAACCAGTACAGAGTTTGAAATTAGCACATCAACACTTCTGAGAGAATGGATTCCAATTAGAAACTGTCAGTCTGCGCCTGAATTTGGAAAGACTGGCCTACAGTTCAGAAACTTGAAGTTGTTGTCTCCTTCACTCCAGGAAGGCAAAAGGTCAAATTCTTGATTTTTAAAAATAAACATAAAGCCACAGAACAGATTCCCTTTTTATCTGAGAAAAATAATGCACAATATGACCTGTGATCAGAGCGCTCTGAACCCTTACCAGGCGCCCTCCGTGAGCGACCTATCAGCCTCCTGGAGAACCACTTAGTCTAGCTGCAGGAAGCCATCCCACCTGGCCCCAGCTCACCCCCGAGTCTACAGGTAAAAGCTGCAGCACACTGCAATGCTGAGTCCCCAGTTCCAAGCCAATACAGCCGGGACACTGGTAACGTGGCTCAGGAGGCACTCATGGGTATAAAAATAAGAGACAAACTCCTTCATTAATATATTTATAGTATGTCACCCAACTGTAAACTGTAAAGTATTCAATAGGACATTTTAAAATGAATATTGACACAGCCAGTTCTGATTTTATTTCTAAAACACTTGAAGTTATTTCCCCTYGACAAATTTTTAACATGGCACAGAAAAACCAGAAGAGAACAGCACCACCCCGTGCACACGGGGTGAGAGGAGCGGTACTCACCACAGGGCGGCCAGCCCACCTGCTCTGCTGGCCACACAGAGAGGGAATGGCCGGTCCTAGGTCTCTAAAAAGAAAACTGCTGGCCGGGAAGGCAGACGGCACAATTGTCTTTTTTTTTATCTCCAAGACAGTATTTTAAGGATGGAATCATCTATAAAATACAACATACAACTATAGTAAAATTAAAAATCCTTCCCCTAACCTTCTGCAGGCACCTCCATTTCTGTTCCCTCGTTGCCTTCCGAAGARTGATGGCTTCCTAAAAAGAAAATAAACAATATGTACTAGACCAACCAAAACCCACACAGAAGAATGAAGAACTAGGTAACAGCACAAGCAATTTAACACATAATGAACACACACAAACCATTCTTAACTCTTAGTAATTATTTCAAACAATGTTCTCTAATTCAGAAAAACATACAACACTTCTACTTGGAAGCTAACTTTTTTGGAAAATACAAACACATAGATGAAGCTAGGGGGCTTAGGGGCTTAACATCACTTGTTCCAGATTGTGCACTGCGATCTCTGGTAGGTGCTGGGGTCTGAGAAGCACAGTGGCTTCGGGTCCCGTGCCCATCTGTCAACAACCCACAACAGCAACAGGAAGACAAACCCAGGAGACCCTGTTCGCTCAAAGACTGAGCGCGGGGCTGGCCTCGCGTGTGCAGCCCTCCACTCACTACCACAGAGGCTAACGAAGCACCTTCCCCACCACCTGACTGTAGTTGCACTTCAGGAAACTCAGAAGTTAAAATTTAAGATACTACCTTGAGTCTCAAAAGCATTCTAATTCAGGTAATATAATCTGCCTGCGTCTAAACACTGGAACATAAACAACAGGTCAGGTTAGGCAGTCACGGTAAACAGGCTCATCCTAGGAAAGAAAGGACCTCAGATGCCAGAGAGCCACGAGGTGAGTGCCCCAGCTCCTGAACACCTATGCCACCAGCAAGGGACAGGTGCTGAAGTACTGCCTTCTAGTGAGGGCAAAAGACACCAGCAAGACGGAGTTGCAGAGGGGGAGAGAGCAAGCCATCCACCTGTCCCATCTACTGGTGACTCAATTCAGTCATGAGCTTACTAAACAAAGGCCTCAGCTAGGAAAACATTCATCTTGATTAACTGTAGCCTCACAATGGCCATGAAGCTGTGTTCTAGGTCAAACTGCTGGGTTTTTTTCTCTGGCTTTAACAAGCCATAATTATCTTGAGGTTCTTTTCTACTTTATCCCGTGAACTTATCTGAACTCACAACTACAGGCAAATCTACACCACTCAGCTATTCCAACTGAATAAAATACCTCTCATACCCACTCCTTCGCTTGGCTTTTACCCTCACGTTTGCGACTTGGGACTCTTAAGTTCTTTGACTGCAAAAGTCAAAGGAAACAAAGAGGTCAAGTCAAAAGGAGGAGAGGCAGTGGAGCAGAGTCCAGGAGTCAAAGGAGAGCATGGGTCAAGAGCGAGGCCGGCCAGGGTGGTGGCTATGTAGACCAGGCCGTGTCCTCTATGCTCTGTTAAATCTTAGACAGTGACACTCACACAACAGAGGACATCTAACAAAGTCAATCTTAAACTCCCAAAGCCCAGACAGACAGAAATAAAAGCCATCACTACAGCCTATGATTGTCAACTTGGGACCACTACACGACAATTCCAAAAAGGCAATTAATAAACCCAGAGATGAGTGATATTTTACAATCCTTTCAAAAACTAAGTATCAGTATGACCTTATCAATATTTACATCACTGACTTTATACAATAACAACCTTATTCTGACTATTCTGATATAAGGTATAAATGTGTACTTTACCTTAAATAGGAAAGTGTGTCATGTACCCATTTCGAGATTCATTACTAGATTCACAAAAGGGAAAATTGGTTTTGAAAAATTGTTGCTTGTGAAGTTCATTTATATGTTTAAAAAAAAAAAAAGGCCAAAACATTTTTCCTTTTCCATTTGGAAAAGTAATAATATAGTTATAAATAACAAAACAGTCTGTCCAATATAAAGCAACATCAAATACCAACAGGATATGGGAGAATGGAAGTGAAAAGTTTATACCTTGCAAAGACTTCGAAAGGGGCAGTTTTTCATCGACATCATCAGTTTCAGAAGGGCCTGCTTTGGGGACAAAAATAATACTTCAAAAGTAATCCCCAAAATATATTTTGGGTCACTTTGATGAAAGAGTTTGGTGAGATATGGGAAATAATGGCCTTTTTACAAGTAAAAAAAGGTCAAAAAAAAAAAAAAACTAACAGAAAAAAACTAAATAAAAAAACCCGACTAACACAATGAGCGGTGTTGACATGTGGTCTCAGTGGGTGGGAGGGCATGTCCAGGTGGATTCATGCATAGACAGTCAAGAAAGATTCTGAAATGGCCAGACACATAGGCTGGATGACAATGGTATGTCTGAAGTGGTGGGAATGTTTTTTTTTTTTTAAACAGCAAAATATTCAACACAGTAAACTGTAACTTCCACCCCACATGGATTACAAATGCAGGTTTATCTGGTACATATATTTATTTTTTCTATTATTTATGAAAGATGCAAAACCAAATTGGTATACCTTCCTTGGAATCACAACACGATGGAACTACCAGTGAACTTAAATAACCATTGAAATAAATGAACAACTAACAGGTATTAATTCAGATCCCCCTCTGCCACTCCCCCATCATAAGCACTTCTTCATGAGTGGAAAAGGTTCCTTCCAATTATCAGTAGAAAATACTTTGGAAGCCTTCACAAAACACTACAGAGACTTTGAAGACACATTTCTGTTTATCAACAAGTTTTTTAGTGATCAATTTAAAAGAAACAAAAATTGTATTTTCAATGCTTACTTTTTGGGAATGCCGGCGGGGGTGGGGGGGTACTTGGGATTGAACCTAGGAGGCTCAACCACTGAACCACATCTCCAAACCTTTTTGGTATTATATTTAGAAGCAGGGTCTCACTAAATTGATTAGGGGCTCACTAAGTTGGTGAGGCTGGCTTTGAACTCCTAATCCTCCTGTCTCACCTCCCAAACTGTTGGCACCATCTAGCTCGGCTCAATGTCTATTTCTTTTTTTTAAACATTCTTTAGTTGTAAATGGACAACATCTTTATTTTATTTATTTTTATGTGGCGCTGATGATTCAATGCAGTGCCTCAACACATGCCAGGCAAGCGCTCTACCACTGAGCTACAACCCCAGCCCCCAATTTCCACTTAACATAAAATGTATTCTTTCATTGATGTGTACACAAACCAGCTATGTCTAATTATCATTTGGTAAACATTCTAAGACATCTGAAAGGCTTTATTAATGCACAAAGTTGCATAAAACTTCACATTACAAGCAAAGGACATAGCGTGAAAGAAAAACTACTGTTATGGTGTGGATGTGAGGTGTCTTCCAAAGGCTAGTGTGACAATGCCAGAAGGTTCAAAGGAGAAGTGATTGGGTTGCGAGAGCCTAACAAATCAGTGCATCGATTCTGTGATGGGATTAACTCAATGCGAGCTGAAGGCAGGTAGGCTGTGGTTAGAGGAGGTGATAACTGGGGGTGTAGTCTCTGGGATATTTAAATATTTTGTACTTGGGAATGGAGTCTCTCTCTGTTGTCTGATCATCATGTGAGCTGCTTCATGCTGCCACACTCCACTGCCTCACCACAAGCTCTGAGGAAGGGAGCTGGCTGTCTACGGACTGAGACCTCTGAGACTGTGAGCCCCTAAATAAACTTTTCCTCCTTTACAATTGTTTTTGTCAGGTCTTTTAAGTCACAGGCATGAGAAAGCTGACCAAAACGACTGTGGGGCTGAGAGGGGTACTTCAGGGGTATGGTGTTGCACAGCAGGCACGAGGCCTGGGGAGCCATCTGCAGCACAGCAAGAAATAAAATCTCAACTAAGATCAAGACTCTGAGATCAAACACCACACCCACCCCTTCCTAGTCATGCAACCTGGATACAAAACAGAATTCTCATCAAGAATGATGCTCATGGGGCTGGGGCTCAGTGGCAAGAGTGCTTAACTAGCATGAGTGAGGCACTGGGTTCAATTCCCAGTACCGCATATAAATTAATAAAACAACCTTCCATAGACAACTAAAAAGAAATTGGGACAAAAAAAAAAGAAGAAGAATGAACCAGAGAAATGAAAAGTTGTGCTCGATTTGTGTAAGATGAATCAAAATGCAGTCTGCTATCATGTATAACTAATTAGAACAAATGTTTAAAAAAAAAAAAAGAAGAAGAAGAATGGTGCACCGCCAGGCACAATGGGACCCGCTGTGATCTCAGCAGCCTGGGAGGCTGAGGTAAGAAGATGGCGAGTTCAAAGTCAGCCTCAGCAGATCAGCAAGGCACTGAGCAACGCGGCGAGACCCTGATTCTACACAAGTACAAAGAAGGTGGTCTGGGGATGTGGCTAAAGCGGTAGCACACTTGCCTGGCATGCGCAGTGCACCGGGTTCGATCCTCAGCACCACATAAAAATAAAGATGTTGTGTCCACCGAAAATTAAAAAATAACTATTTTTGAAAAAATTCTCTCTCTCTCTTCTCTCTAAAAAGTCTTGCCGGCCAATACCTACTTCTTCCTTAAAAAAAAAAAAAAAAAAACAAGTACAAAGAAGGGCTGGGGATGTGGCTCAGTGGTTAGGCACCTCAATCCCAGGACAAAAGAAAAAAAAGAATGATGGAAACACTTGGGTTGGGGGTGGCAGGGCAGGGAGGCAGGCACAGGCCTGGGTTCCAACTGCAACACAGAAGGTAAGGGGAAAAGAAAAACAAGAGACAACAGTCAAGTGTGGCAAATGACTTCCAAGTACTACTATAGCTCCAGGGCAAGACGTCAGCCATGTGGCTTTCTCCAGATTCTATCCTCAAATTTAGGGGTGGGAGGTGGGAGCCCAGGCCTCCACCTTGGAGCTGGAACCCAGCCCTGCCTTGAGTATTTTTAAGAAGGTCATCCTTAGTCATCAGCATATCTCCTGGGAGTCCCAGCATAGAGCTTTTCTGTCCAACACTGGGGTTTCTAGTTTAATGAATGCATCAGGTTCAGGTAAGCTGTTAAGGCCATCTGTGGATAAGTACAAAGTTTATCTTTATAAATGATCCACATTTTATAAATAATAATTATTTACTGGGTACAGAATTTTCTATATATATATCAATTAGCTTACCTTTATTAGCTAGAGATAAAATATCTATTTCACATTTGTAAGCATTCATCAACTTGCTATATTTTCCACGTAATTACATGCAGACATGTTTATAAAATTATCATAATTAATTTTTTACTTTACTTATTGGATACACGGGGGGGTGCAGTGGTGCATGGCTGTAATTCCAGTGGCTCGGGAGGATGGCAAATTCAAAGCAAGCCTGAGCAACTCAGTGAGACCCTTCAATCTCCAGTACTCCCCCCAAAAAATTATTAATGGTTTGAATATCAATGCAGTGACTTATTTCTTATGTTTTTCCTTTCGTACGTTAAATAATCTCACCCTTTATCCCCACCTTTTTGCTTCAAATTAATATTGCTAAACTAAAGCCAGGCACAGTGGTGCACACCTGCAATCCCAGCAGTTTGGGAAGCTAAGGCGGTAGGATCACAAATTCAAGGACAGCCTGAGCAGCTGAGGGAGACCCCATCTCAAAAGTAAAAAATAACAAGGGATGGGATGTGGCTGAGTGGTAACGTTCCCCTGGGTTCCATCCCAAGTACCCCCACAAAAAGGGAGGGGGCAGGAGATTGCCAAAGTAGGATTTCTGGTTTCGGTGCCCTTCTCCCAGCATACCTTCATAAAAGGTTATACTTTCAAATCCATGCTACTCAGTAGCACCCTTCACTCTTACCCTTGCAAGGCTAGAGGTGCCCACCAACCACCACAGAAATGGAAGCACCCCCAACCCTCATGCTGGAGTGCTGCCTGCAGAACCTGCAGAGAACACAGACATCTCCTAGGGCATTGTGGTGGACAGCAAAGGTTTGCCAAGAAAACACCAACGTGATCCTACAAAAGCACACAGTACAGCAGAGCAGTGACCATGGTAATACTACTCTACTGGTAACAAAAATGAAAACCTTGACAGCACACTGGACAACCACACAATAGCACACACAGGCCAACCACTATGGTAAACTTAAGAGATTAGCAAAAGGATGCACGCACGCACGCACGCACACACATACACTCACACATACACACGGTGGAAATGCACATGCAGGGAAGTCTTCAGGATGCACCATCCTTGGTTTTCAGAACAGTGGCTGAAGAGGAATCAGGAGAAAAGCAGGATGTGGAGCGCCCAGGCTTGGCTCTAGCAACAGGGCTGAATGGTTTCCTCGAGGACGGAGCAGCCCAGACCTCAGCGTCACCAACCTAGGCTGGTGGCCTAGGTGAGCAGGGTTCCACAGCTCACTGAGAGCCAGGACAACCCACGGGAGCGGTACACATATGCACAACGGCCTCGGGCCACCAGCAGGGAGGAGGCCCACCACAGAGCACGCCCAACACTGACCAAAGTTCTACAAAACCCATGATGGGAAACTGATATATATCAAAACCAGAAATGCAAATCTACTGCCGGGCGCAGTGGCACATGCCTGTAATCCGAGTGACTTGGGAGGCTGAGGCAGGAGGATGGCAAGTTTAAGGTCAGCCTCAGCAACTTAGCAAGACACTGTCTCAAAATAAAAAAATAACAAGGACTGGGGATATAGCTTAATGGTTGAGTGCCCTAGATTCAATCTCCAGTACCTAAGAAAAATACAAATCCATAGAGAAAAACGGAAAACTCCCAACTCTCTCTTCATAGTAAGTGACAGAAGGAGACTGAAACCTCAGGACGCAGGGAACCTGGGCCTTCACCCATCCTCACCCGACCTGTCACTGCAGGGAATCCCCACAGCACTGGACTTCGCTGGACTGCATGTCTGCCCCAGCTCACAGGTGGCATCATCAAGACTGCATTCTGGGCACAAATCAAAGTTAGAGCAAGCGCGTTCACACAGATGACATAACAGAAGCCCCCAAGCGAGTGGCGGAACAAGATCTGAAAAATACACAAACATATGGATGTCATTCCTAAGTGACCCACAGGACAAGGAGCAGCCACAGCAAATTAGTTACTTTAATAGGATGAAAATAATGACAAATCAAATTCTGTGGGGCAGCAGTGCCCGTCGGCCGCAGAGCACTGGCCCAGTGGGCCCAGGGTCGGACCAGGCACAGGAAGGGAGTCTGCAGGGCAGCTGAAGCGGGGCTGTGAGGACAATGGTGGCATTAAAAAAAGAGTTTAATCTCTCACCTTAAAAACTAAAATAGAAACAAAATTCACCTGCAGAAGGCAAGAAATACCATCAGCGAAAGTCAAAGCTGCTCCCTAAGGAGAGAAAGAGCGTTAACGAGTTTCTCTGGGCCAAGGACTGAGGTGACACCGTCCAGTGAGCCACGTGAGGACCGTGGAGACCTTTTTTATTTTAACCACTGAGGATGCTCTGGAGCATGTGCGTGGAGGCCAGGAGGTGACCAAACACACCACTGCACAGCCTCAGACTCACGAGACAGGAGCCACTCCAGGTGAGGGCACCACCAACACCGGGCCCGAGTTCGGCACAAAGCTGGAGCTTTACAACGTGGGGGGGGGGAGGGGGGGACAAAGAATGTTTTGCCAAACTCTGTGACCTAAAATCTGAATGTCTGGCTGAGCACATAGTGCACATTTAAGCCCAGCTTCCGCACCTTAGCAAGACCCTGTCTCAAGAAACAGAAGGGGCTGTGGATGTGCTCAGCAGGAGGGCTCTTGCCTGGCCTGCTCAAGACCCACAGAGTGAGCCCACGCATCAACCATGATCCCAACACTGCTTCTCGGCCAGGTGGGGCTGTTCAACATTTGCAAACTAACGCACAGGAAAAACCATCGAATCACCTCAACAGACGCAAAAGTCTGTTCACATTTAAGCTTCTTGAAAATCTTAAAATATAAACACCCAAGAACTTTCCCAGCCTGATGAAGCACCKGGGAGGAACTCAGGCGTCAAGCTGAGCCACTTGCTCCTCCAACTGCCAAGATGGGATCAAGCAGATTCCCGCCACTGCTCCCCCCCACTGCTCCAACCCCAGGAGAGGAAAAGGTAAACACACAGAAAAAAGGAGGAATAAAACTGTCCCAAGTCGCAGAGAATGCAAGTATCTACACAAGAAAATCCCAGAGATTTCACCAAAAAGTCACTAAAATAAGTGAAGTTAGCCAGATCACAAGATAGAAAGTATGTAAAAATAAACTGTAAGCACATGCACTAGCAATAAATAGAAGTTAAAATAAAAATTTAAAAAGCACCCTGTATGCTAACACCAAAGCCCATGAAAAGCATAGATCTTACAAACCACGTACAAGATCTGAACACTGAAAACCCCAAGTGCTGACCAAAGGCCAGGAGGAAGAGTCGGACAGCAAGACACAGAGTTACTAGGCTAGAGCCAGACCACTCCAGACTCAGCACAGTCTCCGTCAAGAGGCCCACGGGCTCTGCCAATGAACTCACAGCTGAATGTTTTTAAATTTACATTAAAAAATAGTTGTAAAAAAGAATAATGAAGTTGGAGGATGCTTGTGACCTGATTCCATCCAAGAACCACTGTACACCCAGAACTCAAAAGGCAACGTGACATCAGCAGAGAATGGACAAGTAGATCAGGGTAACAGAATATGCTCTAGAAACTGACAGATGCAAAAAGAACCCAAGGGGAAGACAATTTTTTCAAAAGGTGGTGCCATAAAACACGGGATGTCACTGTGCAAAAATTCACTGAAAAAATGGAAACGCACCTAAATTTAGAAATACAGAATTTTTCGAAACAGAAGAAAATCACTGTCACTTTTAGGTTAGAAAAAGATCTCTTAGATGACACTTAAGCACAATTCATTCAAGGAGAAAAATACCTCAATAAACTGGATTTCACCAATTAAACTACTTGCAAATCACATGACAAAGGGCTTCTATTCAATAACTTCATTATTTAAAAAAAAAAATCCAGGGCTGAGGGTGCAGATGAGTGGTAGAATGCCCCTGGGATCAATCACAAGTACCATTAAAAAAAGGAAATAAAGAAGTCGTCAGAATTCACTCAGTTTACTGCCAATGACAGTAAACTGTTCAGAACTGACTGTTAAGAACAAAATGTAAAGCGGAGGAGCACCTGCCTAGCATGTGTGAGGCTCTGGGTTCAATCCTTAGTACCATTTCAATAAAAAAAGGAAAAGAAAGAAAGAAAAGAAAAACAACGACATTCACTAAGACATGATCTCCCCCTAGCCTGCATACTGAGGGCTGAACTCGGGGGTATTTTACCACTCTAAGCTTCATTCCAGCCCTTTTTATTTTTTGAGAAAGGGTCTCCCTAAATTGCTGAGGCTGGCCTCAAACTCCTAAGCCTCCTGCCTCAGCCTCCCAAGGAGCTGGGATTTCAAGTATGCACCACAGCGCCTGCCACCATGACACAATCTAATACAGGCATACAGATATTCACATACTAAATTTATTCCGAATGCTTTATAAATGCTCCAGAACTAAGATGTATCATTTAAATAAAATACACATATTAGGCAAATACAAAGTAGAACCACAATGGTGAATCGTAACACACCCACTGAAAGTGACCGACACTAACAAGCACCACCCAAGTGCTGGCAAGGACGCGCAGTGACTGTGACTCCATATGCTCCTGACTAGAATGTAAAGCCCACAAAGCACTCTGGAGAAGTCTGGCACCTGCTGAAAATCTTAAAATACCTTCCAGCTACCCAGCTACCCATCCCGAGGAATCTGCTGGAGAGCAGGGAAGGCCGAGCCAAGACCTGAAGCAAAGGTTCCCAGCAGCTGTACTTGTGGTGACTTCGAAGTGGAAAAACCAAATGGCCTCCCAGAGACAAAAGGATGCCAAGCTGGTCCAGGCACATGGCAGTGTGACGTTCCACAGCGCAGTGGCATCTGACCCCACAGCACTGCCCGTGACTCTGGGGAAGGGGCAAGTCCACGCTGTCCCCAGGCCAAGGTGCACCATGTGTTTTGTTTTAAGATGCCATTTGTGTAAATGCTGAGAAAATATAAACTGAATGACAGAAAACGTGGTGGCTGCCTGAGGACGGGAAAGGACAGATTACAGAAGGACACAACAGAAGGACAAAACTCAAGGGGTGATGGACATCTCACTAACTGGTTGCAGTGAGGTGGTTTCTGAGGAGGCTCCTCATAACACCAACAAAAAGTTCACACTTTCAATATTTTCCACACATTTTATAAATATCACTGAAAACAAACTGAGCCCTAACTTTACCACAATTTTTGCTCGTCCACTTAAGAATGTTATTAGCTATTAAATTTTCCTTACAGATTATTTTACAACCCATTTTCTGGCTGTTTTATTCCTGTGATGAATTACAAGTGCATATGCCAATGAAGCACCAATCAATAAAAAAAAAAATTTTTTAAGAAATTTCAGTACAAAATAAACTGATTTTTAACCACTAGTAACATCCAGGAAGCAGAGCTGCGCACAGGCATTACCTTGGACGTTGTACTGATAGTAGTCAGGGTCTTCTGACTCCTCCTTGACCGTCACAGCTGCCATTTCCAGAGAAATGCCTATAAAAGCAAATGACATTCCAGGGCTAACGTCAGGGCGTCAGCCAGACTGCGCACAACACAGATATGACTCAACGATTCTGAAAGAACAAAAGGTTAAGAGACAGCAGGGTAGGAAAGAAAATCAAACCGAAGTTTTAACAATTATTAATATTCTGAGAGTCTTTTCTGTAATTTTTCCCCATGAATTCTTGACTTTGAAATTGAAGAATATTGGTCCACTTACAATTGAGACACTTAATTCAAAGCACATATTTAGGACCAGACCAAAGATTACATATTTCATCATTCCATTAATAGGAATGTCCAAAATAGGCAAAAGAAATCTGTTGCTAAAACCATCAAGCAAGTGTGCCAGGCCTGGTGACACACACCTGTCATCCTGGCAACTCAGCGGGTCGAGGCACCAGGATCACAGTGTCAAGGACAGCCTGGCCAATTTAGCTAGACCCTCAGCAACTTAGAGAGACCTAGTCTCAAAATAAAGAAGACTGACAAAGGGACACAAGGAGCCACGGCAGGCAATCAGGAGCAGTCTCTTGGATGGGAACATGCACTTGGGGACCCCCAGATTTTAACTGTGGTGACGTGTTGGAGTGCACCCAGAAGGACCTAGTCACAGGAGCGCATCCACCCTGCTCAGACTTTACTGGGTTCTCAGAGCAAATGCTGGACAAAAGGAACCATATTCAAACAGGTTCAAGCACTGAGCACTCATTCAAGAAGCCTGTCCTCCAAGGGAACGATGTCACCGCACCCTTCTCCGCTGGGCAGATCCCATCTGGCCTGGGGAGGGGAAACTCCCAGCTCCAGTGCTGGCAACTAACCATGTATGTGGAACCACAGTGTAAAAGTGCCCTGCCCTGCAAAGGCATCTGCCACACAGGAACACAGCAGGGAGCTGGCAGGCCAGAGGAGAAGGGATGAAGGGATGAAGGGATGTGGACTTTCCTCTGGCTCCGAGTCTGCTTGCTGTTTCTGTCAAGCTCACTCCTCCACACACGCCTGCAACACTGCAACAAGCAGGCCCTTCTGGTTGCAAATGCCAGGCCCAGGCCTCCAGGTTTCCACCAATACCCTGGAAACGGTCCATGAGGCCATCGGGGCTAGGGAATGGCTCACAGTGGGACACTTGTGCAGCACGCACCAGGTGTGGATGCAATCCCCAGCACCACAACAATTTTAAAAAAGGCCCCAGGTACCAGTGCCAGGAAGATACACCAACTTAGAAGTCAAAATTAAAGCCAAGCCCAGCGGATGGCACACACACAATGCCGGAGCTTCAGAAGGCTACGGCAGGAGCATAGCAAGTTCAAAGTCAGCCTTGGCAAATAAGTGAGGTTGTGTCTCAAAGTAAAAAATAAAAAGGACTGGATGTATGGTTCAGTGGTTAGGTGCCTCTGGGTTCAATCCCCAGTACCAAAAAGGGGGAGGGGGCAGAACCCAAGGGTGCACTACCACTAAGCCACATCCCCAGCCCTTTTTATATTAAGACTTAGCCTTGCTAAGTTGCTGAGGCTGGCCTTGAACTTTCGATCCTTCTACCTTAGCCTCTGGAGCCACTGGGATTACAGGTGTCTGCCACACCTGGCCTGATGGAATATTAAATATGAAGTTAACTATTTAAGATATTTGTTGAGTGATCTGAAAGCAGAGTAAAAGATCCACAGGCAGGCTCTGCAACACTAAAGACTGAGAAAAAAGTGACAACTGCTTCCCATCACCTGCAAGGGGTCAAACCCAGGAAGGCCACTACTGTGCTAAGACAGGAAGACTGTGCTTTATACAACTGAAGAGTCTGTGCCCACTCACACCCCATGGCAGTCTACTCAGTTTCCTTAATAAGCAAACCTCGTGCATGCACTTTGGTGCTTCCCAGATGCCACGCACGGTGCAGACCACACTGCCAGTGACGATACACTAGGTTTCTAGTGACGATACACTAGGTTTCTAAGTGAAAATTATATTTAAAAGTTGAAGTTGCTTGACTTTGAAATTGAAGAAAATTAGCACAGATGTGGAAAAACAAAACATGGTTCCAACAAAACTGAAATCAAATCAGGAAGAGCTATCATCTAAATAATCAAAAATGCCTTTGCCCTAGAAATGGACCAAGGCAAGAAAGCAGGTAATAATAACATGACAGAGATCAGACTCGGATCTGAAACATGAACTGCAAAACTCAACTCAACCACATGGAAAAAGCCAGAAAAGCAAAGAAGCAGCATACTTACATCTTCATTTCTCTAACATCGTAAATAAAAAAAATTGAACTTTAAGCCTCCACGAAAGGCAGAGCTGTGGGAGTGGAAATGCCAGCATCACAGTCCTAGAAACCCGATGGAGGGTGGGAAGGAGAAGGCATGAGCAAGATGCGTGGAGACAGAAGGTCTTTTAACAGGGAGCTGGTCCTCCACATGCAGAACCAGGAATCCACATGCTCCCTCCACAACCACCACTGATGTACAGTGGATCTCAAGACTTATATAAAAACTAAAATGATAAAACTTCATGAAGGAACAAAGCTTAAGTATTTGTGACCTCAGGCTGGGAAGCATTTTCTGCATACGGCCACAACATAAGCAATGAATGAAAGAAAAACTTGAAAAATAAATTTCATCAAAATGAAACACATTTGAGCCAGGCATGGTGGCAAACAAATGTAATCCCAGCTACTTGGGAGGCTGAGGCAGGAGGATCCGCCCCAGCAACTCAATAAGAACCATCTCAAATTAAAAGCATTTGCCTAGCAACCATGAGACCCGGACGGAGTTCCATCCACATACCATCAAAAAAAAAAAAAAAAATAGAACTACAAAACAATACTTGCAGGGCTGGGGCTGTGGCTCAGAGGCAGAGCTCTTACTTGGTTGGTATGTGTGAGGCATTGGGTTCAATCCTCAGCACCACATATAAATAAATAAATAAATAAATACCTATCAACAACTAAAAAAAAAATTTTTTAAATAAAGGTATTGTGTCCATTAAGAAAAAAAAAAACCACTGAAAGAGTATAAGCATAGTATCTTAAATTAAGCAAGTAAATACCCAAGTTTACAGATAAAAATGGTTCTTTTGCAAGTATAAAATGGGAGAACAAAGGAAAGAGAGTAAGGGTATTATATTAATTTCTACAAAAAACACTGTATAACCAGTTGACATTTTATATGCCTGTGTCACTGAAAAATAAAATTTTTATTATCAAATGGGTAACAAGCAATGAACGTCTGGCTACCACTATTAACAAGTTCTTTGCGGATCTTGGTGTAACAGGACAACATCAAAAAACACTGTCACAGTTGAAAGATATTTATAGGGAATGCCCATTACACATCAAAATACAGTAATTTATCATTCAAATATAAACTTGTAAATTAAGGAACATTCATCTTTACTTTATAATTAATTCCAAAAGCACTATTACATACCAGAATCTTCTGTGGGCTCCGTTTTCACTTTGATGGGGCCACAACTGAAAGGAGGAGGAAACGTGATCAAGCTGTGCAGTAGTGACAACCACATACACTGCGTTCATAGTGGCACTACGATTCACAACTCCCAAGTCAAAAGAAGCATTTCCTCAAGATCCCCGGGTGACATGACTGCATACTGAACTTTGAGCTGTTTTAATATTCTAGTGACTGCAACAAGTACAGTAGTTTAATAGCAATGACCAAATTATGCTTTACCTTCCACCTGGAGACAACAGGGACCTTTCAGCATCTGTTACCATCACACGACCACCTATGAACAAGAAAGAACCTAAATTTAGGTCTCCCAACCCTTTGAGGTTTTTTTTTTTTTTTTTTAAAAGAGAGAGGAGAGAGAGAGAGAATTTTCAATATTTATTTTCTAGTTCTCAGCAGACACAACATTCTTGTTGGTATGTGGTGCTGAGGATCGAACCCGGGCCGCACGCATGCCAGGCGAGCGCGCTACCGCTTGAACCACATCCCCAGCCCCCTTTGAGAGGTTTTATACTTGCAACATGACTAATACTTCCAAAGGCTTTAAATACTGAATAATCTGGGGGAGGGCTGGATTAGTAAATAGTACAGTAACAACACAAAAGTGTATCTGGGCTTCCATATGAACATAGAGATGGCAGTCCTCTAACACCTTGCAACCCCAAACCACCACCACCTTTCTTTTTATGAAAACACTCCTATTTTTGTCAGTGAAGTTAATACTAAAATATACCACTTATTGAGGAGGCCAGGAAAAGCCTGTGGGTGTATAAGGAATGATGATGATGTACACTGTTATTAAGAATGGGTCTGAGGGGCTGGAGCTGGGGTAGAGCACTTGTATAGCATGCGTGAGGCACTGGGCTCAATTCTGTGCACCACATCAATAAAGAATAAAATAAAGCTACATAAACATCTGAGGAAAAAAAAGAAAAGTAGATCTGAGCCAGGTGCAGTGGCACAAGCCCATAATCCCACTGGTTTGGGAGACTGAGGCAGGAGGATCATAAGTTTGAGGCCAGCCTCAGCAACTTAGCAAGGCCCTAGGCAACTTTAGAGACTCTGTCTCTAAATAAAAAATGCAAAAGGGCAAGAGATGTGGCTCAGTGGTTAAGCAACCACAGGTTCAATCCCAGGTACCAAAAAAAAGTGTGTGGGGGGGTACTGCTCAATTTATACCACTTGCCTACCATTACCAAGGCCCTGGATTCAATTGTCAGTACTACAAAACCAAAAAATTTTAAATCTGAATTTTAACTGAAGTATGACAATAACTCATCTTTCTCAATCTTAAGAGGTCATACAGAAAAATAGAGAGGCCAGTTAACTGCCAACCTAATGATAAAAACTGACAGCATTCCTGCTGATACAAAGAACAAGACTTCTACTGTCACCATTATTGTTTGATATGAGTCCAGCCAAGGCAATAAGTAAGAAATAAAGGCACTCAGACTGCAAAGAAGAGGTGAATTATCTTGATGCTCATATAGCACAGTTCTCTATAGAAAGCCCAGAAATAGAGTCAGGGTCAGCTGACTTCCAACCAAGTTGCCAAGGCAACCCAGGGAGAAAGGACAGTCTTTCCACTAACTTATTCTGAAATAACTGGATACACTCAAAAAAAGACTGATTAACACCACCCCCTCATGTCACATGCACACATTAAACCAAGAGTCGACAGACTGGGGCTGGAGTGCAGCTCAAAACAAGAGTGCTTGCCTGGTATGGGTGAGGTCCCAGTTTCAATCCCCAGGCAAAGAAAAAAAAGACTGATCTAAAGGTCGGTCCAAAAACCTTACAGGCAGCACATGCCTGTAATACCAGTGGCTCAGGAGGCTGAGGCAGGAGGATCAGGAGTTCAAAGCCAGCCTCAGCAACTTAGCAAGGCCCTAAGCAACTCAACAAGATCCTGTCTCTAAATAAAATATAAAAAGGGCTGAGAGTGTAGCACAGTAATGGAGAGTGCCTCTGGGTTCACCACCACCACCACCATCACCATCACCAAATGCAAATCAAAGCCAAGATGAGATAATACTTCACACCCATCAGAATGGCCAAAATACAAAACAAGCCAGCAGGGACATGGGGAACCTGGCACGTCCACACTATTGGTAGAAACGTAAAATGGTGAAGCCACATGGGTAAAAAGCTTGGCATTTACTTGCAAGTGAAATGCAATTTTACCCTAAGATCCAGCAGTTCCAGTCCTACAAATATCTCTACAAGAGAAATAAAGGTACATGTCCAGACTAAAACGGGCTCCAGTATGTTTATAGCAGCATCAATGCTAATAGTGTGAACAACTGGAATGTCTTTCAAAGAGAGAATGGATAAATAGGAGGTTCACTACTACATTCAAGGGACAGTTGATATACTACTGACTCTCAAGGTAATTAAACTCAGTTTAAAGAAAGAAAAAGCTCATCTCAAAAGGATATATGTTGAGCTGGACATGGTGGTGCCCGCCTGTAATCCCAGTGGCTCAAGAGATTAAGGCTGGAAGATGGTGAGTTCAAAACCAGCCTCAGCAAAAGCAAAGTGCTAAGCAGCTCAGTGAGACACTGTCTCTAAATAAAATACAAAATAGTGCTGGGGGTGGGGCTCAGTGTTGAGAGAGCCTGGGTTCAATCCTCAGTACCCCCCCTACACCCCCCAAAAAAGGATATACGTTGATATTGCACAACCATTCTACTCAGGCACACTCTGAGCCCCAGCCCCAGCCCTTTCTATTTTTTATTTTTTAAAGATGGGGTTTCACTTAGTCACCCAGGCCTTGGCCTCCTGAGGAGCGGGAATTACAGGTGTGAACACCCCACCTAGTGTGCGCTGTCTTTGTTTTCCTTTTCTTGGGGTGTTAGGGCCTCACACATGGTAGCCAAGCACTGGTCGGTCACTGAGCAACACCCCCATCCCTGTTTTAAAATTTTAAAGACTGCAAACTAACACCATGGAATTCTACATTTGAAATGACTGAGTTTCCAACTACACCTTAATAAAGATAGCAGACACAGTAGTACACACCCATAACTCCAGCTACTGGAGAGGCTGAGGTAAGAGGATCATAAGTTCAAGGCCAGCCTGGGCAATTCAGCAAGACCTTATCTCMAAGTAACAAACACTAAGGGCTGTGGTCAGGTGCCACCAGGTTCAATCCCTAGTACTGCGAAATTAATCATTTTTTCACCATTATAAAAATATTTTAAAAGATCGTATAACAGAGAACAAAATACATGTGTGAGTGTGTACACACATGACTCTTTCTTTGCATTCTGTTAGAGCTTTCCAGTGATACTGGTTATCTTTTTTTTTTTAATATCTTTATTTTATTTTTATGTGGTGCTGAGAATCGAACCCAGTGCCTCATGCATACTAGGCGAGCGCGCTACCACCTGAGCCACATCCCCAGCCCCAGGTTATCTAACTTTTGAAAAGTCTCAAATAACTGGCCCCACAGCCCACGCCTATAATCCCAGAAACTCAAGGAGCTGAGGCAAGAAGATTCTCTCTTCAAAGGCAATGGCCACATGCTCCTAAAGGAAGTCCTGCTGTTCTCCCAGGCATGTCTTCCCGCCCTCACTGAAGCCCTTGCTGAACTGTGAGGGATCCTGCCTCTGGTATGCTCCTTTAGACCGGCACCTGGTGGGGATGTTATTTCTCACCACAATTGTCACCTACCTGGATGTGTCCCTCCAGCAGATGATAAGCACTCAAAAGTTTTTTTTCTTTTTTTTAATTTTCTTTTTAGATGTTGATGGATCTTTATTTTTTTCATTTATTTATATGTGGTGCCAAGAATCGAACCCAGTGCCTCACACATGCTAGGCAAGTGCACTAACACTGAGCTACAACCCAATCCCAAGCACTCAAAAGCTTTAATGCTGTACGCAATTGTGTCTTCCTTGCCGTCCAATTTGGTGCCCAGTGATGCGTTGCCATTTCAATGAACATAAGGTAAATTTAAGTCCCACTCACATTCCGAGCAAGAGGAACAGAGCCAGTAGACGATCTTACCCACTGCCAACATAAAACCTGGGTCCAGCACAGAGCAATGAGCAGAAAATAAAAAACTAGCCTCTACTTTTTCAGCTCATGAATCTTTCACTGTTTACTCAGAAGACACCACTCCCAAGTGTCCTAAACCACAGCCTCAAAGAGAATAAGGGAGAAAGCATCATGATGTATCAAGATCTGGCAAAGGGGACCTAGAGACCCAGTCGACTGTCGTGTGAACCAAGCAGTCACTTACCCAGGTGTTTCCTTGGCTCTAGGAAGGGTCTGCATTAGAACAAAACACAAACCATGTATGAGCACACAAGAGGCTTATAAAGCACAAATATAGACATCTGCAGTAAACAATTTAAAAACTATTAAAATGAAGTGAATATTCAACTTTATGTGAATAAACTGTTGATGGGCCAGAAGGAGGAAAGCACATCACCTCTTGATGATAAAGGAAATCCCTGCTTTGTTCTCCAAAATCCATTTCAGGGTTGCAAGGTCATAATTTTCAGGGTGTTTGAAGGCGACTCCCTCTGGAAGGCCCTGCACTACCACAGCCGACTGGTCTCTAAGCATCTTCTCATACGGGACAGGCACCACCGTGGATTTGCCTAAGGCTTTCCCTGAGGAAGAAGTAAAGAAAATAAGCATCATTAAATGACTAAGAGTAAGAAACTATCAAAAGCTTATCACCAGGGGCGGGAACTGGGTTCCATTCTCAGCACCACTTTGAAATACTACAGGGTCTTAGTCCTGTTAGTTTTAAATATGATACAGATCCAAAGGGTCGAAATTTAACCCTAAAATTTACACAAAAGGAGAGCAAAAATGATTTCTTGCAATATCTGTCATAAGATGGTCCATGCTGGTTTAACACATTCTGGTCATATGTAACTCAGTTTCAGGACATAAAAACCTGACAAATCCAACTATTTCCATAAGATAACTTGAAAATTTCAGCTAATATTCTGAACACTTAAGTAGGTAAATAAAACTTTGGCCCCGAGAAGGTGTATCTGTCAGCCTGTCTGTGCTGACCGGTGATGAGTCCCAGACTGAAGACTCAATCTGCAGCAGCTTTGCCGACACCCCCCCGCCACCTCTGACTATTTCCTTTGACAGGCTTTGCAGAACACATGATTAACAGAAGGCGATTTTGCAGGAAATTGGGGAGATCAGCATTACTRTCAAAAAGGAACAACTCTAAAAGCTACACCTGATTCTGGGTTCCTTGAAAATGGAAACAGAGGTTCCAGTGGCCTGGGAGGCAGAGGCAGAAAGATCACAAGTTCAAAGCCAGCCTCAGCAACTTAGTGGGGCCCTGAGTAACTTAGCAAGACCCTTTCTCAAAATAAAAAGTAAAAACAAGGCTGGGGATGTGACTCAGTGGGTAAGTACCCCTGGGTCCAACCCCCAGTACCAAAAAGAAAATGGAGAGCTAAGATGTGACTCAGTGGTACGTATGGCACCTCCCTGGCGTGCCCAGTCTGTCCCCAGCACTGCACACCCAGGGAAATGGAGATGCAAAGAAATGCTGTTTCTACTATCACCCCGTTATCTGAGAATCAACCTGTTCAATCTATAAGAATGTGTGCAAGAAGTGCTGAGCCAAGGACAACATCTAACATTTAGAAAACTCCCACATGATGTATCTTACAAAATCAAGGGGCATGGCTTTTACCATAGCAAAAGCAGAAATAGTCCTCAACTGTTTTCCTGAGCGTCTCGATCTCTACGGCATCCACACTCATCCGGCTGGCCTGAGGTGTGGACTTCATCTTATGCATCTCGGCTGCCTTTTCTTCTTCTTCAACACCTGGAAAACAATGGGCGACGTGAAGGCCATGACTCTCTCATCCCACTATCTGGCTGCTAGTAGGAATATTTTTCCTGTATTCTAACATTTACGATGAAGACAAGGATAAAGAGGAAACGTTTAAAATAAAAACCTAGAAGACTTGCATGAAATTCATATGAAATGGCAAACAACTCTGATGTAAGTGTAAACTAAAAATACTACACATTAGCTACTAGCGGTTTAAACAAAAAAGATAAATAATTTATTAGTTAAAAAATCTAAATCATCACAAAAAAATTCTAGATGTGCAAAGTCAAACTCAAGTCCACTAGATACCGTGGCACTGAGGATGTGGCAGGCGAGACCAGGGTGTGTGGTGAGCGCCAGGACAGCAGGTCTCAGAGACATGGGCTGGTGCCCAGCGGGGGAGGCAGGCCTGCCAGCACGCACCCCAGCTCCAGCCTTCAGCTGCAGCGAGAGCACCTCCTCAAGAGGTCTAGATTCCACTCCATGTTGAAATAATACTTTAGATAGTAAAATTACATTTTAAAAAAAATCACAAAAATGTGGGGCTGTGTGGCTCAGTGGTGGAGCACTTGCCTAGAATGTATGAGGCACTGGGTTTGATCCTTGGCCACATAAAAATAAAGAAAATAAAGGTATTGTGTCCATCTATAACTAAAAAAATTAGTTTAAAAATCACTAAAATGAATTTCAGTTCTTAATTTTAATGTCACCCCTACAAAACTAAAATTATGTGACATATATTTATTTGGACATCACTTCTCTAAATACTAGGAAAGGGACTCAACTCTCCTGAAGAATTTCTAACACTGACTCCTTGTCCTATTTATTAGGTTTCAGAAGACCTCAGTTGCTCCTTATCTGCAAAACCCAGTTACAAAAACAAACGCAGACTCCTGGTGTTCCACTCCTCACCTTTCTAAGGGCACGGAAGTGTACCCAAACCACCACTCCAGTTCTCATTTTCAATACAGTGTTTAATAAATGACATGAATACATCACGCTTCGTGTTAAGACAGGCTTGGTGTGAGGGGATTTTGCCCAGTGGGGTGGCCTGGGCAAGCTAAGTGCCCAGGCATATCTAAGGCAGGCTGGACTAATTGGGTGTGTAGTGAGTATTAGACACAGTTTGGACTTAACAATACATTCAATTTATGATGGGATTAATGGGACATAACTCCATCCTAAATTGAAAAAGACCGCCTGCATTAGGAACTTAAGAATGACATCCAAAGAAAATTTGCCAGAAAATATTGGGGAAGGGCAGRGGTTAGATCATGGGTGTATTGGGGCATACCTGTAACTGCAGGCAGGAAGATCAAGTTCAAGGACAGCCTTGAAAAGTTAGCAAGACCCTAAGCAACTTAATGAGACTGTCTCAAAAAAATAAAAAAAAAAAAGAAGTATAATGATGTCACTGGGAAACATGATGTCATCTACTTCAGAACATTCAAAAAAGCATGATAGCATCCTGTCTCTTTACTCTGGGAAGCAATCAGGAGGTGAAGACAGTCCTGGGTCCTTATCATCCTCTGATCTGGGGTCAGGAAATGAGAGGGAGGGGACCAAAGATGTCCAGGATGTCCTCAGTGGTGCGAACACCAAAGGGCTGCAGATAACCCTAATCCTCAGCTAGCCCCTGAAGCACCGTCCGAATAAGGATGTATGCAGAAGAGAGTACATGCACAGCTGCAGTGAGATCAGAGCACTCATGGGCAGACGGCAGCTGAGGAGCACCAATCAAAACAGCATCATCAGTACAAACTTAAATAGATAAATAAAATCGAGCCCTTAATGTTTCTCAAAATATAAAAAATATTGACAATTTTTTAAAAATAAATCACTACTGCCAGGCGCAGTGGCGCACGCCTATAATCCTAGCAGCTCAGGAGGCTGAGGCAAGAAGATCTTGAGTTCAAAGCCAGTATCAGCAAAAACGAGGTGCTAATAAAGCAACTCAGCAAGACCCTGTCTCTAAATAAAATACTAAATAGGACTAGGGATGTGGCTCAGTGGTCTACTGCCCCTGAGTTCAATCCCTGGTGTCAAAAATAGATAGATCAGAATTACAACTGGGAGTGAAAATACATAGTGGTGGGCTGTATGCTTTCCCCCCTAGGGCTTGCCAGGGTTCAAACCCAGGGCCTTATGCGTGCCAGGGGAAAGCTCTACCACTGAGTCTCATCCCCAGCCCTAGACACATCTTTCTTGGAGGGAGGGGGTGATATGGGAGATTGAACCCAGGGCCTCCCACATACCAGGCAAGTGTTCCGTTCCACCACTGGGCTACACTCCTTGGACTTTTGAAAAGGATTAAAAATGCAATTGAGCACCTAAGTTAACGAATTAAACCTGTTTGTATTCATTCCTGATCTTCCACAGGTGTTGTGGATTGGATCTCAGAGCCTGTGCTTGGCTGTGAGCACTCCCTCCTTTCCTCTCCTCCTTCTATGTTTAAGACACGCTGTCACGCCGAGTGGGTGCAGGCTGAACACTAATACAACACTCACGCTGTGCAAGTGTGCGAGGATTAACACCTCTGACAACTTTTGCTACTGTTCTCACTCCACGGTCAAACAAGCTCCCTGAGGCCCCTGAAGGAAAGACGACAAACTCCATGAAGACACAGTCAGGAGCGCCCACCAGGGGACGTGGGCAGTGTGGGGAGCCCGGCTTCACTCTGCTCCACGCTCAGGCTCAACTCCATTGAGACACTTGTTTCCCACACACCAGGCATTTACCATAGCAGGAAGGGCCAAAGGAAGGCCACATCTTGGCACAGGCCTGAACCTCAGAGCTGAGCAGAACAAGCCCCTTACACTGAGCAGTGGCTGAGCAGCAGAGCTCACCAGGAACCAGCCAGGCCCTGGGTCTAGGGAGTGGGGCGAGGAGGGAGGAAGGGAGGACCTGCTTATCTGAATAAGACTTAACCGCCAGGGTCATGGCTCAGTGGCAGAGCACTCGCCTAGCATGAATGAAGTACTAGGTCCGATCCTCAGCACCACATAAATATAAAATAAAAGATATTGTGTCCCCCACTAAAACTCAAAAAAAAAAAAAAAAACCCCACTAAAAAAAAAAAAAGACTTAACCAATTCAGAACTTCATCTTCTTTCTAATGTGTTCTCACAATCCAGAGTAATGCCTCACTAGGAACATAGTACATCAAACAATTACCATTTTTCTTAAACTCTTCAGTATTTGCACCAATATATTACCATGTCAGTGATTCAGTTTGAGCATCTTGAAATGTTTCCATAAACATGTCAGGAAGGTTTTGTTTTGGTTTTGCTTTTTTAGTATGAATCTCTTTCTGCATTAGAAAGAAAATATGATGTCTTACCTATAAGTATATTTAAAATTTACAAGATACTAAAGAAAAAAAAAAAAAGACATTGCTTACAGTATTTTACAAAATCTTTCTGGAAATCCTTTCTGGAGTTGACGAAAGCACGACCCCTCTCGGTTCCGACCACAAACACGTCTGTCTCGTATACCGCGATGCAGGCCACTTCCGCCTTGGACTTGGCCAGCTCCTTACACTGCAACACAAGCAGCGAACGCTGTACGTCAAGAGCTGTTGGAGCACAGTGTCTGCAGGCTGGACACAAGGACCTCGTGCTAGAAACTGTCCTCCGCCCTGTGAGGGGGATGGCACCCAGGGTACCCTAACACTGACCTACAATTCCCAGGTTTCTTTTCTATTTTTCTTATTAAGACAGGACCTTGCCAAGTTGCCCAGGCTGGCCTTGACCCTGCAATCCTCCTGTCTCAGCCTCACGTGTTGCTGGGATTACAGGTGCCACCACAACCATCTTAAAAACTCTTAATGCATAATCGGGACTCAGGGAAATTCCTCTCTAAAATCACATACAGAAGTGTCTCCATTTTAATGTACCTATCTTTATAGGTAATTTTCATAACTAGTTCCAAGCAGAAGAAAACACAAGAATTTTTAAGGAAAAAAGCAGAAATATTCTGCAAACTGCTATAGATGAGATTCTTTAAAAAAGAGATTTGCATACATTCTTGCTGGGGAATTCTCTCCATCACATCTGAGAGGTACAGGAGAGGCAGGAGTGGGTAGAGCTATGAAGGAATAGCCATGGAGGAGTTTGGGAGCTGGGGTATCCTATCAAGACAAGGGCTGAGATGAGGAAGGGGACTCTAAAGCTAAATGCAACTGTGAGAATTTAATGACATCAGCCCTGAAATAGGAAGCCAGGGGTTCTAAATCCCACCCCATTAACACGCACTACAGAATTTCACCTCCAGAAATTTTTAGGAGTGCATACGCAACTGAAACCACAGCGAGGTGGGTATGCTACCTACTAACTTCATATGCACCCTTTATACGCAGGGTCTGGTGGTGGTACCTGTGATCAAGGCAATTTGGGAGGCTGAAGCAAGAGACTCTCTTGACTTGAGCCCAAGTGTTCAAGGCCAGCCTGGACAACACAGCAACATCCGTCTCAAAAAGCACACAAAAAAAGCCCATTTTACAGATGTATCATGATTCATTTAGTGCTAACATTACTGAAAAGGCAGCTAGATTCCATTTTCTCTCCTAAAAATAATACTGCAATAATAATCTGGTAAGAAAACATTCATATGCAACTTGAAAAATTTCCTCAAGAATCAGTGCTACTGCTGGGCATGGTGGCCCACACCTGTCATCCTGGTGGCTGGGAGGCTGAGGAAGAAGGATCATGAGTTCAAAACCAGCCTCAGCAAAAGCAAGGCGCTAGAAAACTCTGTGAGACCCCGTCTCTAAATAAAACACAAAATAGGGCTGGGGATGTTATGTGTCCAAGTCCAATCCCTGGTACCAAAAAAAAAAAAAAAAAAAAAAAAAATCAGTGGCATGAAAGAGAGCAAGAACTAACACTGGAAGCATAAACACTGTCAGGATTCTTACCATCTACTGAAATCTGCTTTCTAAGAAGGTTCACCTCATTCTACCAAATGCCAGTGTGCAACTATGCTAAAAATCCTAATATCATAACCAATACTCCTCTGGTTGGTAATAAAACTAATGAGTATTGTGGTCTAATTTTCTACAAACTATCATATCCTTTCTTTGCCCATCTTTCTACAGTATCAGGATTTCAAAATTTGTCTTAGAGTAATTATTTTTCAGTCTAGAATTTACCTTGGAACATGATGATTCCATAAACTGAAGCTTTTTTCCGTAATAGCTTATTGTTTCAGTATCATTTATTAAAAACTAGCTTTCTTCTGTTTTTGGTTTATACAATAATTAATCTCTAATTTTCTAAGTGGAAGTAATTTCTACATAATACTTAGTTCAGCCAGGTGCAGTGGCACACACCTATAATCCCAGCAGCTGAAGAGGCTGAAGCAGGAGGATTGCCAAATTCAAAGCCAGCCTCAGCAATTTAGCAATGCCCTAAGCAACTTAGTGAGCCCAGGTCTCAAAAGTTAAAAAAAAAAAAAAAAAAAAAAGGCTGGGAATATGGCTCAGTGGTAAGGTGTCCCTGGGTTCAATCCTTACTACCACTACCCCCGAAAAAAAGAACTTACTAAAACAGCTGGGTATAAAGAACTGAGTGCTTTAGCTGGAGGGGTAGTTTAAGGGAACTGATGAAGGGTTAAAATCCAGAAAGAAACCTTACCACAAAGAAGAAAAAAAAATTGGGGAGTGATGTTCATGAAGTTACAGCATATGACTATTCATCATTCTTACTTTTCTTCAAGAGGTAACTTTAATTTTTTCCTTGTGGTGCTGGGGATCAGTCCTAGGGCATCGCCCATGCTAGGTGAGTACTCTACCACTAAAATACACCTCCAGCCAGAATGGGCTAGGGATCTGTCCAGTGGTAAAGTGCTTGCCTAGCACACATGAGGCCCTGCGGTTAAAAAAAAAACAGTAAAGGAAGAAAACAATGCCCTAATGGAAAACAAAAGAGAATCTACCAGCAGGAGGCAATGGCGCAGCCTATAATCACAACAGCTCAGGAAGCTGAGGCAGTAGAATCACAAGTTCAAAGGCAGCCTTAGCAACTTAGTGAGACCCTGTCCCTAAATAACATATTTAAAAAGGGGCTGGGATGTGGCTCAGTGGTTAAGCACCCCTGAGTTCAATCCCCAGTACCAAAAAAAAAAAAAAAAAAATGATACACCAACACTATCAACTGAGCCCTGTGAGGTATCTGGTGGTGGTCAGCCACTTAAAACAGGGAAAATGCACAACTTCTTCCAGCTTGGAATATTTCATTCTAGTTTGTCAGAAATACCTAAGTCTGATGTTTTTTGAATCAAATATTTTATCTCCAGCTATAAGCCTATAAAAACATAATAAACAAATAGTACATGTACATCTACTGTCCTAAAAATATAAAAACCCAGCAAGAATATAAAATTTCATTATAATTGTGTGTGGTAGAAAAAAAACCTGAGTAAAGAGTTAACACATGAGCTGGGAATGTGGCTCAGTGGTAGAGTGTTTGCCTAGCATGCATGAGGTCCTGGGTTTAATCCCCACATCACCACCACTACCACTACCACCACCACCACCCTAAAAAAAAAAAGCACACAGTACAAAATTTAATAGACAGTGGCAGAACAGAAACAACTGTGTAAATGCATAATAACCAAGATGATGAGACAGAGAAGAGCTACGGGCCTTATGGCCCAAGATCCGAGTGACCCACACACAGGTGCAATGAAACACCAGCAGCACACGCCATGACTTATTTGGAACAATTTCAAATATTATGAATAAATTCAAAGTTAACACTTTGCAAAACAATGGACTGTCCACAAAAACTGGCAATAAATGTAAACAATTAAATATTCAAGGTCATTCTAAAGCTCGGTAATAAAATGTAGTTTCAAAAGCTTAAATTTATAACAAGTAAAAAAAAAAAAACTATTCTTTTTAAAATCAAATTTAATGTTTTATAGAAAACAAATCCACCTTATCCAACAGACCAATCCTATCCAACTATGGCAGAATCACAGACCACCTCACCATGGACTCGAGGGCAGACATGAGGAAGGTCACCACCATCCTGCTCTCCGAAGACTCCTCATCTTCAACGGGCAGGGTAGACATTGCTACCTGGGCCATGATCCCTGTGCAAAAGAAGCAACATGGACATGAGTGACAGAAACCAGGGTCTCAGCACACTTCAGAGCCGTGAGGTGGCCACCGATTGCTTAGTTTCCCTTCTTCAGTCATCTACTTTCCCCAAAGCTTTTACCTCAAAGAGACCCTTCCTCTTCACATCCCATCTACCATTAATTATTTCCATGAACTCAGCTTGGCATCACACCCAGACTAAATCCAGAGGACGCCCAGCTGGGCTGGGGTGCAGCTCAGTGACAGGCAGAGCACCAGCCTCCATGTGCAAGGCTCTGCGTTCAATCCCCCAGGACCAACAAAATTTGTAAATATCAAAGTGCATAAATGCACTCTACTGTCACATATAACTAATTAAAACAAACAAACAAACAAAAAAAAAAAACAGAAGGTGCTCAGAACTGGTTAAAATTCTCCCAGTGGGAGAAAAAAGAGGAGGTGAAACTTCCCACACGGGGACACTCTACCACGATCCAAACAGCAAGAGACACAAAGTTCTGTCCTGCCCTCCCCTCCTGCAGTGCACAGGAGTGGGTGAAGTGGCTAGTCTGGTGAAATTTTTACTAGAAAAAGAAAGAATCCACAGGGCCTCAGGGAACTCTAAGTGTCTTCTACCATAAAGATTATTTTTCTCATTAGGAAACATTTTCTGATACTTTTGTATTAGCAAAAATCCTCTGATAAATGTCAAACACCATAAACACAACATATTAAAAAAATATATAACTGTTGCAAAGACATGCAGGAATGGGAACCTTCATGCATATTGCTTGCAATGTAAAGGGTGCATAGCTGCTGGGGAAACAATTTAGCAGTTCCTACAAAGATGGAGAGGATCATCACATCATCCAGCAACTTCACTTCTGGATACACACACAAGAACTGAACACCCGGGGCTCCAGCACCTACATGCACCTACGTTCACAGCAGCATTTTCACAACCATCAGAAGGTGAAACAACCCAGAAGTCCAACCAGAGATGAATAAACAAATGTGCCGTGTGCAGATATGAAGCACTACTCTCAGCCTTCAAAAGGCAGTCTGACACAGCCTTCCACACAGTAAGTCCTGGGAGCGCTGCACTAGTGAGTAGATTAAGTCAGACACAGGACAGCTTCTATATGTGTGGTGACTGGAAGACTCAAATTCAAAGAACGGTGGGTAGGGGGTTAGCTGGGCGCAGTGGCAAACACCTGTGATCCCAGTGGCTCAGGAGGCAGAAGCAGAGAAGATGGCGAGTTCAAAGCCAGCCTCAGCAATGGTGAGACACTAAGCAGCTCAGTGAGAACCTGCCTCTAAATAAAATACAAAATAGGGCTGGGATGCGGCTCAAGTGGTCAAGTACCCCTGAGTTCAATTCCCCGTAACCCACTCCAAAACAATGGTGGGTGCCAGCAGGTGAAAGAGGCAGTAAAGGGGAGTTATTGATTAACAGGGGCAGAGCAGTCGGGAATGATGAAAAGCTTTTTTTTTTTTTTTAAATGTGGTGCTGAGGATGGAACCAGCGCTCTGTACATGTTGGGAGAGTGCTCTACCACTGAGCCCCAGCCCAGCCCCATGAAAATCTTCTGAGATAAGACAGTGGTGACAGCTCCCTAGCAACATGAATACACTCAATGCCAGTGAACTGTTCGATCACTAATAGTGAACACACAAACTTTTACAATATGTATATTTAACCAAAGTAAAATTAAAAACCTACATAAACACACTCAAAGGCAAAATCTGAAACAATTTTTAAAATCTGGTTTCCTATAAATAGTATGTAAATTAGACGCTTGTTAAAACTATTTCTTGCAATTTAATTAAATTAACCAATTTTCCAGATCAAGTAATAAAATAAAACAATATACAAGGATGATGGAAAAATTAAAAGACTAGAAACATAATGGGAATCTAAAAACATCTCTGCATGTACATTAGCTCACTGGAAACTCCTGAATATCTGACACCAAACCTCAATATTCAGAGGACCCTGACAAGCACTGGCAGAGCTGGGAGCGGGCATACACCTTGGCCTAAAAACATGTCAAACATCCCACGAGGACAAACTGTTTCCATGAAGTCTGCAATCCAGATTTAACACCTGTTACCAAAAGAAGCAACTGCCAAGCCAGACTTTAGGCCTCAACAAATAATGAAGAATACATACTTAGGAAATATATCTTTAAAATAAAAATCAGGTGCAGTGACACACACCTATAATCCCAGTGACCTGGGAGGCTGAAATAGGAGGATCTCAAGTTCAAGGATAGCTTTGAATGCATAACAAGACCCTGTCTTTTGAGAAAAAATTAAAACTGCGGGTGTACCTCAACAGTGGAGTCCCAGTAGGTTCAATCCCCAGTATAACAAATAAACAAATAAAAATCAACTGACACTTATTCCCCCATATCTGTGGACAAATAGAAGTAATTTTGTTTCTCAAAACAAGATTCTGCTTTCTGGAAATGGGTGCACTGGATGACTAGAGAGAATCAGACAATGCTTCAGACAGGCAAGTGCTGGATCCCGGAAAGCCGCTTTCTTTTCTCTTGGATAAGGAAGCCTCAGTGAATTGTATTAAAATATGGTTTAGTCAAAACAGACAGCAAAGGCCTATTACTTTTCAATAAGACACTTGTTAGAATATACTGTCATTATTTCTGAAAACACATATTTATTCATATTCTCACTTTTCCTCTAATTTCCCAGCAAGAGAAAAGAGAGATGTGTTCCCATTTTACAAATGCAGTGATTCTCCAAGTCACAGAGCCACTACCAGAGTCAACACATGAAACCAGACAACTTTCTGCTGACTGTTGTCTCCCTTCTCTCAGGGCACACACAGGCAGTCCAGCTCCATCACTGGAACTCCTGGGGCCAGATGGCCAAGTCAAAGCAAGAAAGAAAGCATCTTGGAGGTGCCAGCTCAGTGGGGACAGGGGAGGCGGCCTGTTGCTCAGAGCTGTCCACTCTCCTCATGGTGCACCGGGTGACAACAGAATCTCACTGGGCTACTCTTGGCCGATCCCAAGAGGCCACCTCCCTGGAGAGGGCTCAGTTGGGACCATGCATGGAGCACTGGCAGCTAACTATATTTCCCCTCTCTCTTTCCCAGAATCTGCCAGCCAGGACTCCCCAGAGGGCACAGCAGGCAAGCACAATGCTCTGGTCCTCCCAGAACCAAAGCCATAGAGCTGGTTCTGAGCTCACCACACCACCAGCTGCAGCTCAACCGCAGGGGCTGCGCTCACTGACTCTTGTGTAGACAAATACCTGATCGAGCACTTACCAGGAAAGTTCCTTTCACCTCTCACCTTTTACGAATGTTCTCTCGACTTCACATACAAGAGGAAAGCCTCATGGTGGCACACACATCTGTAAGATCATAAGTTTGAGGCCAGGGGCTGCGGATGTGGCTCAAGCGGTGGTGCGCTCGCCTGGCATGCGTGCAGCCCGGGTTCAATCCTCAGCACCACATACAAACAAGGATGTTGTGTCCACCGACAACTAAAAAAATAAATATTAAAAATTCTCTCTCTCTCTCTCTCTCTCTCTCTCTCTCTCT